TATCTCCAGCCCGTCTAAATGCAGGGTAGGATTTCTCTCCTCTTCAAAGGTAGCCTAATCTTACCCCAGAGGAGCTTCCACTAAAATGCAGGCTAACATTTTCACAAAGAGTTTTTTGGGTAGAAGCTGTAGTAGAGTTACAACCATCCCACCCTGATGCATGGAGTACTTTCCTTTCTCATTTTCCAGCTCCAACGCTGTCGCTGCCCTGGCTGATTTTCAGCAGCGTTCCATTGGCTGTAGCACAAGGTTTTCATGCCCCGTTACTTAAACGTGTTGAAACAGGCTAATGAACGCTCCTCATCGCTGTTGTACAGTGTATGTGGTGTCTGAGGTTGGTATGTGGGAAGGTGGGGGGCAGGGGTCTGCTTTGACACCCTAATCCTGCAGTCTAGCTTGGCTTTGTGGAGACCTTAGTTGGGAGGAGAGAGAAGAAGGGAGGGGGGTTGTCAGGGGCAGTCATATGAAGAGGGGGTGGTGGGAGTGCGGGGTTTGACAGAGGACGAAAGGGAGGGGAGCGAAGAGAAGGCAGGACGAGGGAGAATGGGGTTTGCTCATTCTCCTGCTCTTACTATGAAAGCAAACAAAGAATACTGAATGGCCCGACTCCTGACAGACAGCAGGACCTCTCAGACAGTATTAGCTGGTTATCCTCCTCTTACCTGACTGTACTCCGCCTCTGGCCTCTTCTTCTGCTGCTGTCAGTGCTCTCTTCCATGTGCCGAAGATGCCTCAGTGCTGCTCCACATCCTCTTCTGGCGTCTGCATGTGAGTCCCTCTGCCTGTGTGTTTGTCAGAGTTCACTACCAGTCTGGTGTTGTTGAACTAGTACGCTACATGTGTGAGAGGCTCTGTCGCTCCGGTACATTTTCTTCATTAGATCTTTTTTCAATTGGATAATCCTGTCTTAGCTAGTTTTGTTTCCTTTTTTTTTCCTGAGAGGTGTGTCTCTTGGTAGGTAAGCGTGAATGCACAGGTACAGAAACAGGTGATTTTCCTTCCAGCTGAAGTCCAATGAGAGGAATGCTCATCCAGACTCTCAAGTAGAGCACTTTGGACCCTCATGTAAACAATTAGCTGCAAATGCACACTGTGGGGGGAAAAAATTCAGATTTCGGGAGCTGTCAAGGGGTTGAAGCTTAACCCAAATGCGTAAAACCAACATTTGCATGCCAGAGAGCTAATGCTAAATGACAGCTGGCCACATCTGCTTTTGCTGCAATCAGCACACAAGCCTCCAGAGCAAAGGATGCCCTGCCTGAATGTTTAGTTGTGGTTTTCTGTGGGTGAAGGGCAGACGGCTTTATTGCTGGCTTGGCAGCAGAGCTGGCAAATAGACGGTCTGACTGGCACAGCAGACAACACTTTGGAAGGGTGGGGCCACCTTTCGGGCTATTGGTCACATAAGAAGAACAGGGTGGTGGCATTGGTGCAGGCAGAGAGCTTTTGCTTCAGAGGATTCTGTTAATAATGATTATTCTTTTATATTTGGATTAGATTACACCACAGACAACTCTCAGTCCAATATGTGTTTAGTTTGTTTTGGTGTTACTTATCTAAAATTTGTTTGGATTTAAAAAAGAAGAACCAAATGGTTATATTACTAATAACACAAATAAAAACAATGTATACATCCAGGGACATGGAAAACTATTTCAATTTTATTAAAAGCAAAATGATAACTGCATTTGAATATTTGACTGAATTAAAGGATTAAAGTTTGAATCAGAAAGAATTTTATTGGATAATTTGAATGAAGATCTTTCCGAGTGGGAAAGTCTTTACTTTTAACTCCAGCTAACCTCTTGTATATAATAACTTTTTTAGAAAACCAGTAAAAGAAGTTTTTAATTCTAATTTTTTATATGCACATTTTTGCTGTCTTTTAAAACTTTTAATGCATTTATTTGAAAAGCAAACTGATAGAGCGATAATAAAAACTGTGTTGCACCCTTTTGAACTATGAGTTTAAAACAAAATCAGCTCTTTTGGGAACACAGGATGCAGTGCAGTACTGAATCGTCAGCCAGTGCTGTTGTTGGTTACTACTGTTGACCTGTAGCCAAGCTGGCACGCAGTCTGCCCACAGACACACACTACGCCGCGCGCGCAGACTCGGCCTGTGGGTTCTGCTTTTTAATTGGCAGCCAGCAGGAGAGACGCACTCGGTTCCAAGGCTTTAAGCATTTGGAACACCACCATCAAACCCGCTACTCATGCATACATCCTTTTATTTCCTCCTTTCTGGCTTCTCCACTTTAATTTAAAAAAGAAAAGAAAAAACAACACCCGGCCCAATAACTTACATACTTACTTTGGATTTGATCTAAAAATAGGAGTGAGTAGTTAGTAAAACATGCTGATAAGAAATTTTGTTTTCTGCTGTTAAGTGGTTTGTTTTGCTTTGTAGAGGAATGTGCCGTTTTTCACTATCTAGCACTTGATTGAAGAGCCATGTCTGGTGTAATTCTCTGCAGGGCCTCATTGAAAGAGCAGCTTCAGGCAGTAGCCAGCAGTTGAATAAACTCAATAGCCATCAATTGCATTTGGTCAATAACATGTAGCAGAGGCCAGCAGGTTGAGCATCCCTTTATCAAAATTGAATTCAGGGCTGGTGACGCAATGTTTATAGTAACAATTTGGATAATGTGCCAGAAAATAAAACCACATAGACATTTTTTTTTCTTAAAACAGATAGATGGAGATACAAGTTGCACAACACTTTTATGCTTAATGTGAAGCTAAAGAAGTCCAGGGTTTTTTTTGTATTAGTTGATAGTGAAGCTTTAGAAGCTGAGATAAGGATGGAAAGAGTGGAGGGATGATGTAAACGAAAGAACATGGTAAAGATTAAAGCAGATGTTGGTTGAGGAAAAAATGGACCCCGCTGCTTAGCCCCTTATTATATGTTTCTGACTATAACGTCAAGAGAATTGCATCCAAATTCCACCTTCAGGAAGTGGCTCAGTTTTTTTTCTCCCCTTTGTCCCAGGTGCAGGGTTTTCAGCATATGTTTTTACGACTGCTTTCTGTGGCGAAAACTGTTATCGGTGCACGAGGTCGAGGGAGGACAGATGAAGTGTCTCCTATTCGGCTGTGATTGTGCTGAAATCCAAAAGTCCTCCATTCTGACCATGCAGTTTCCCCACGCTGCTAAGCCCTCTTTTATTCACCTTTTCATCTGCCCCCCCTTCTGTACGACCACCCTTTTAGCCCCTCTGCTATTCCCCAGACAGCAGGCCACATATTGACCTTTGGATCCTCTCATTTCTCTCTTATAGAGGCACTCAAAGCTTAAACAGGGAGAGGATATGGTGTCTGTCAGTGGATAATGTGCAAACATTCACACAGTTTGTGTGTGTGTGTGTGTGTAAACACATGCAAGCACATAAGCACTTGATATTAAAAAAGTTATAGTGCTCTGGCTAACTGAGAGTTCTGTTTCTTTTGGTTTTTTAGGATTTAGGCTAAGGATCATTATTATTTAGTGGTTTTGTCCATTACACAATATTTAGTGACAGGACTGTTCTCAGATCAAAAGATTAGCCTCCCCGAGACATAACTCAGTGGATCAGTGTGTGCAAGGGAGTGCTTGTCCTCTGAGCCCAGAATTTGGAGCTGTTGCATGCAGGGCATAGCGGGCCTCTATTGTGCGGTTGTCAAGCTGGTTGGCTGTTGTGGTGTGCAAACTTAGGCACGCTGGCACGCACACAGACATTTACTAATGCACGCACATCTACAGAGGACTTATTACCAGGAGGAGTCAGTGTCAGGTCAGGCGGCCTGGCCTCTGGACAGCACTGTATTGTTGCCGGCCTCCATCTCTCTTGGACGTTCAACAGTGCAGGCATTCAGTTGTTGCTGGTGAGTCAGGAGCAGCGGGCAGCAAACAGTGGGACCAATATCACCTGCCTTCACACTACTCCACTGTTGTGTTCAACAGACTTCAAGAGCACAGCGTACACAAAGGCAAAGGATTTGGTTTTTAAAATTCGGAGATGCATGAACAGAAACATGCACACTAACGGACTGTTTCACAGCCTGCTGATAAAACGGGACCCTCAGTTAAAGATCTGCTGCTTACAGAGTTTCAGAAGAATTGAGAATATGCAGAATTCTATTTAAAAGATGGATGAAATATAAGAGCAGTGGATCCACGTGGCTACATTTTAGGCAGACTCTGGTTTTGACATCTGTCAGCATGTCCAGCTTACTTACTAAATTATTCCTTTTGTCAAAGGGGTTATTTGGCTCTATGGGCATCCCCTCACTCAATAGTCAATCAGCCATATCACCTTGTATACAGAAACGCTGCCTCACGTCACCCCTAACTGCTTCATGATCGGCCACACTGCAGACTCTGTGACCTACTTTTGTCTTTTGAATTGACTTCACGTGGACAGTAAAAGTGTTGCAACATTCTGTGATGACCTCATTTTTTTATGCTTCTTTTTTACATTTACTGTCATCTCTTTATGTCTCTCCCCAGTTATATCTCCCAGTCTTTATTTGTTATGCTGAACTGACCATTATGCGAAAATATACTTGTTGAATTTTTTTTTTAACAAGCATTTTAATTGTGTGTGGGGAGACGGCTGGAGTGGGTTCACTTCATGCTGACAGAAGCATTTTTACTGGAGGAAAATATTCCAGACACAGCAGATGAATTATTTTCTGAATGTTCCTTCCTAAACTTACCTTACCATTCAGATATTTAGAAAATGACCTCCATCATTTTGTCTTTGTCCAGCGTTTTTAATTCTGGTCCTTGTTAATAACTGTAACTTGACCTGTTGAATGTGTTTTCTTTGAGTTACATCCAGCATTTGGTTACCACAGACGGCATCTGGTGCCCTGTGGTGCCAGTGTAACCAGTCTGGCAGTATGATTCTGGGGCTGTAGTGCACGCTCAGACAAATACACAGCACACCAAGGCACAGCTGAGCTAATGACTCATCTCTCTTTCCCCCTCCCTGGCTTTTCTCTCTCTCCCATTCTGTCTGTTCCTCTCTTTCTCTGTCTCTGTCTGTACAGGAGACATCACTCAGAAGGGCTATGAGAAGAAAAGAAGCAAATTGTTGGCACCTTACATCCCTCAGATACAAGGTAAGGCTCACAGGCCTGTTGGAAATGTTCCCTCTGGATGAATGTTTGATTGGCAGTAGGTGTAATTTTTTACTTGTTGCTGATAGACTCAAGATAAATGTCATACCAATTTTACAAATAAGTTAAAGTCATCCAAAAGTAGAAAAAAGAGAAATAAGAATGGTCAATTTCTCAAGAGCAACAAAAGTGTAAAAGCAACATCAGAAAATACAGTTGAATAGTGTTTGGTAAAAAGTAAAAAGTTGCTGTATCTATACTTTACTCAGTTGTTATATAAATCCGATCTGTTATCTGTGCCACAGTCCTACGTTAGCTACATGGAATACTGTATGAGATTAAAATGAAAATAGATTTAGAAAAACAAGGCTCAATATAGAATGGTAATGTTGGTCTTCTTGATCATCAGGATACATTTTAATTTACCTTAAGAAGCTCCATATCAGCTCTATTTTAAATGTTAAAATCAGGAAACTATTTGAACGTGCTGGGGCCTACCTATGTGCTTTGATCGTTGTTGGTGCGGTCATTCAGTCATGGCGGATTCTGCCTGTATTTGAAGTTAATATAAAAAAGAAGTTGCTTTCCACATGCTTCATGCTTTTCCGTCTTATATCTTGTGTCCATAGTAATCTTTTTTTTGGCCTGGTCTCACAGCACCAAGTCTGCGTGGAAACCAGAGTCTGGTGTGGGCTGCTCGCTCATGGCTTTCCACTGGAGTTAGCAGGACTGTTATTTAGCTTGGGTGGATCATTTCCTTGGCTCTTCTACTCTATCAGTTATGCGTGTTTTCTCTTGGCTGTTTATTCTATTCAGTATGGATCCAATCTTTTCAATAAGGGAAGTGATAGCTGTGGAGTTGTGATGGAAATATTTGGAATGTATAGTAAGATGAATAAAAGGACACATAGTAATAGACAACTGCTTATTAAGTATTTTTCTTTTAAAAAAAGGATAGACTTAAAGTTCAAAAGAGCAAACAGAAGCTGTTTGTGAGAACTGGAATTAATACAAGTTACAAGGCCGAAGTTACATCCTTCATTGACACTGAACTGAAGAGAATTTATGGGCAAAGAATGACAAGGACACCAGTGTGTTAGAAAAGTCAATAGCTTTTTCATAGTAGCCAAATTCTTAATATGATAATGTTCTGTGTACTGATGAAACCATTTCGAGACCTGTCTGAATATAGTTAACTAAATGAACTCAAGAAGGAGATGCTATAAGGCTATTTTGCTGCACTTACCCATCAGCATGAAAAAAGTAAAAGTATCTATCTGTCTCTTTCTCTATATATATATATATGTATATATTTATATATAAATTGAATCTGTTGGGAGTGAAACATGCATCTGTAAGTAAAGTGCAAGCATCAGAAGGGTGTTAAAAATTCATCAAGCGACACTGTGAACCAATGAGGACATCTACTGTGACGGAGCACACCTCTGATTGGTTAAGTGTGGTGCGTCTCTGAAGTACGTTCTGCCCAGCAACCGGGTCTGGCGTTCTGGCTCGTTTTTTAATACCTGTTTTCCTCCGGGAGCCGGGGAAAGGCTGTTGTGTGACTGGCATGTCAGAGCAATGTAGGGGACCAGCGTATATTAATGTCTGTTGCTCCCAGGAGATTTGAGTGTATTGGAGTGTGTGTCAAACTCAAAAAAAGATCTGTGTGTCCTCTAATGTCTCCAGGCCCTTCTTTTAGTAATAGTTTAATCTGATTATTTTTTAGAATTGTTTGAAATTGCGTAAATCTTGCTTGCCACCACAGTGTGTGGGTTCTTGCTGCTGTCTGAGAGTTGCTGACTCGGTGGAGTTCACTGATCCTCACTAAGCTGCCGCTGAAAAGCCAGGCGGTCCGATGGCTGGCTGGCTGGCTGGCTGGATGGATGGATGGGTCTCTGATGGGTCAACCAGCCAGATCTTTTATGTAGCTGACTACTGAGTGTGGTGTGAAAGGACTATGTCCATGAGGTTTCTTGTAATTTGTGGACTAGCAATGTAACCAAGCAACTACTTAGTGCAGTTCATTTGGTCAGGTTATAAATCTACAGAAATGGAAAAGAGATAACATCTACTATCAAGCATAATGAGAGAGTTTAGACATCTTGAATATTAAGATGACTTGTCCATGTTCAATAAAAAACCATGCTTTTCACATCAATGTGCTATGAAATACATTTAAAAAGTTTTTCTTCCAGTTACACCACAGAAGAAGAAGTGATGGTAGTGGTCAGAAAATTAGTATCAGAGCTCATATTGTCACCTTGCTTTAAGCGATATTCTTGGGTTTCCCCTCTGATACCTACTGCCAGTGAATTAATGGAGCTCAAACGAATATCGCATGAGCTAAAGGATGAATCAGTCGCAATGGTGTACAGTTCAAAGAGAGCATGACGAGTTTGATCATTTTAGAATGCTTCATTTAGAAGACTTATTTTTTACTCTCATAGTGCTTAAGAAGCTTCTTTCAGATACATCAGTGAAATTAGCTCTCCTTGGAAAACTTAGAACCACCTAGAAGGCTGAAATAGTCTCTCAGTTCTAAGCTTTGGCATTCAAAGAAACCAGCCGAAACAGAGATTTAGCTTGTCAATGGGTTATTAGATTGAGCATCATTCATTGTTGTTGTGCATTCCACCAGAATATGTTACCTAAAAAAGTAATTTCACAAATTTTTCTGCTTTTCTATTTGACAAGTGTCTGCTTTTTGTTCATGCCATATAACATCCTCTCCCTGGTCCTGATTCCCTTCAGGTGTGGATCCATCTCTACAAATAGACAACAGGATCCAGGCCCCCTCCCAAGCTGTCCTTTCAGGTTCCAAACAGATCAAGTCCAGGGCTGCCAACACCCGGGATGAACGCTTCAGATCTGGTAACCATGAGTCCCTTCTTCACTGAAGTTTCAGGCATCAGGTGCTGCTTTTTTCGCCTGCAGCTGAGTTATGTGGGTGTGTTTCCACAGATTTGCACACAGAGGCAGTCCAAGCAGCATTGGCAAAGTACAAAGAGAGGAAAATGCCCATGCCCTCTAAGAGACGATCTGTTCTAGTCCAGTCTTCAGTCGAGGCATGCACCCCACCAGGTGAGACCTCTGTTCTTTTATACTCACTACCTAACTGTTGCAGAACTCTCACTTTGTGCACACAGTTAAGTTTTTTTTGTCTTCTCTGGGTTGTTTGCCCCTTTCAGAGTCTGAGATGTTGATTCTCTGATTTCAGCTATTGAAAATTGGGTTAGCAATTATTTGCTACTGGAAAGTTATGCCATTTGACAAATGTGTCCTTTCTTTGTGTTTATAAATGACTGAGTTCTGACTGTTGTGTAGCCAAGCAGACTCCCCACATGAGCTGCATAATGGATGCATTATCAGATTTTTTTTCCGTTATGCTCTCAAAATGTCAAACTTTGATTTGGTTGTTATAACAGTTTGCGAATCCGATTTTTTTCTGGCCTCTCCATTTGTATTTTTTTAAATGCTTTGGTAACTAATCCGTTTAAGGTTTGATAACTGTCAACTAAACTCTGCAGACTTTATCTTTGATGTATGATGTGGGGGGGCTTAGAGCCTCAAACCTCGAATAAAGAGAGGGGACACAGCAGAGACTCAAGTAACCGGATTAAGGGTTTAAACACTGGGGCCTAAATGGTAGAGGTGGAAAGGCCCTTCTTATGTGTTTTTGAGTGACTCTGAGGGATTTATTGAGCATAGATAAGGTGTGTTTGATATTGATTGACAAGAAAAAGACCCTGTACAGCTTACAGCATATTTTGACAAACAATTTGATATTAGGTGCAGTTTTTATAATAGTATTTCAAAACTTCATCTAAAATTTGTTTTTATTCTGGTTTTATGTACTTCTATTTTAACTTAGGGGAAATAAAAGTACCGGTATATAGAAGTCTGGCAAAGCTCTGCTCTTCAATCTAGTTTTCAATATTATTTTATCTGTAGAGGGTATGGCTGTGAATAAGTCCCTTCTGGCCATTTCTGCAATGAGCTGCTTGGTTGAAATGTTATTTAAGCATTGATGGAGCCTTCATGGAGCCCACAAATGAGCATCTGTTCATATTAGCATGCAGCTGAAAGCCTGCTGTGCACAAGTATTGTTATCAGTGTACAACTTTCAAACAAACAAATTCACCATACATACTGGACACCGATGAATGTGGAGGCTACAGTATGTTGTATGTGTGTTTGGGTCTGTGGATCTGTTCAGAGAAAGGCTGCTTTGGCTTTTACCTGCTGGACTAAAACTTCATGATGGTGCTAGTCTTAGTCATTCGTTTTTGTAAACTAAACATATTTGTAAGAAAAGGGAGGAATTATTTATAGATCTTATAAACCATCTCTGCCTACCTCTGTTTTTTTCAACCTTCACAATTTGTCCCTAATTTCTCCTGTCTGTCGAAGATACTTCCTCTTTTTTTCAGCCTCTGTTTAATACTTTTCTTAGCCTTTAACGAGAGAAAGAGAGGGTGTGTGTAGATGAATAACAAACAGAATCATAAATGTGAGATAAATCACATAAGCCTGCCAGTTTTAGAGACATCAAATCTGATTCAACCTCCCCCAGTACTCCTCTGAAAGCCTCTGTAAGACCGAGAGGAAAGTAGCAGGGATTCTAATGGTGGCTCCGATTTGTGCGCTTGGTGAGAGATGAATAAGGATAATTATCTGAAGGTTTATTTGTTAAGGATCTGTTCGCCATGTGCTGATCAGAGATTTACTGGTTTATTAAAAACTATCTCATGATGTCCGACATTTTTCACTTAATTAAAGCTTGGTTTTGTACAATGGCTCAAATCCTTCAAAGCTCTAATTCTTTGTTTGAAAAAGTTTTGTTATGTTATTGCCACTTATTACACGGTGAGAGCTGAACATTTGGAATATGTCCATGTATTCATTAAGCATGATACTTACATTAATTTGAAGTTTTCTTATTTGGTCTACTTTTGATTTGATGTGCAGCCCACATAACGCCCCAGAAAGAGAAAGTATGTTAAATGTGAAATTATTAATGACTTGGTTTGAGTCAGTGGAATTCTCTTACAGCAGACAGATTTTACTTACATTGTTTTATATTTGTTTTGTACTTTCATTTTTGTTGCATAAATGTGCCAAATATATGAAAGAAAAGTCTGAGACAATGCTAAGGCTTCAGAGGGTTGCGAGCTCTTGGTTTCCAACATTTCTTCTCAGAAGATGACATCAGGTCATAAAAGTATTTTTATATGGTCATATGCTCCAACCGCAGTCTGCAAAGTCAAACTGAGGTCTTGGTTAAATGTAAGTACTATTGCAGGCTTATATGCAGCCTGGGGTTATAAGACTAAGTCAGCTGTTATTCAACTCAGGCTATCGCTCAAGGGAAATTATGTTTATTTGGTATAAATTGTTCTGGATAGAAGACTTTGGGGTGTATGAGAGTCATCGGCTGCAATGCCACACATAAAGCAGGTAATGAATAATGTTACATGGCAGATTCAGTTTGTTATCAAGCATACTGATTTCATCTCCACCATCGTCACATGCACATAGTCCGTCTTGGGTTGACCAATTTTAAAGGCAAATGCCTAAGCTTGCTCTAATTGAAAAGCGTTCCTCTGCCTCATGGCCTCCATCACTGTCAAAATCATCTTTTCATCCAACTAGCTTATATGTACTTTACCTAGTATGTATAAGTAGAGTAGCGGGTCATCCTCATATCGGCTGAGCCATGCAGAAATCTTGACTTTTGTCCTGTGACACCATAACCAGGCCCCATGTTCTTCTCCACTGTTATGATGCTGTCTTAACCTGTCAAACACAGACACCTCCTCAGCGTCAGAAGACGAGGGCTCGCTGCGCCGACAGGGACGTCTGACCACCTCCACACCCTATCAGGGCCACGGCCACCCAGCCGTTGAGCACTGGTTCAATCGTGTCATCCAGGGTTCGTCCACCTCATCCTCAGCGTCATCCACCTCATCCCACCCAGGAGGGAGATCCATCACCAACACCACTTCCCACGCAGCGCTCAACGCCAACGCTGCGGCAACGGCACTGGCTGACCTTATGGCACACACCCAGCTAGGTCAGTGACACACACCCACTCAAATGCTATCTCACTTAGTGAGTCCAGTCTACTCGGTTTCAGCAGATGAACGTGGATCAGACTCTGAAGAGAGTTTTTTTTAAAATGATTATTATTTTTTTACCTAGTATTTGTTAACTTCAGCAGAAGGTTGCCGTGCCAGTAACCGGTTTCATTTATAATAAAATAATATGATATTGATAATATAATATAAGGTAAGATCCTCATGTATATCTTTGCCTGGATGACTGTTTACCTACAATGGCAGTTTTATCGCAGAAACTTCCGAGGCCTTATCTGCACTTCAAATCCAGAAAAGCCCTTGATGGTTGTTAGATAAAGAGTACCGGAGACTCTTTTAAATCACATCTCCTTAATTAGTTGTCGCCGTCTGCCATCTCACTCTCACACAGTCATGTAACAGAGCTCAAAGCCTAATTGTGGTCAAAACAGCTTGTTCCGTGTCGCTATTTGAGTGTCACCAAAACTAGTTGATGACATTTAGTGGATTTGTCATAGTCAGTTTTGCTGTATGTCATGTCTGTCTGTGTGTTGCGAAAGGTGTCCAATGAAGAAGGAACTTTCCTGATGTATGTGCTATCTCTTTTTAATTTTTTAAAATAATTTGTCTGCCTTCAAGGTGGCTATCATTAAGGGATGGCACTGACAGGTGCTGAACTAAAACTATAAATAACTCTAGCATAATACCTGGTTCCCTGGTGCTCACTCTGTGTGCGCTGGTAGACTACGAAGTGTCTGTCTACAGCATTTAAAGATATATGGATGGCAAGCCCGAGCTTTGGGTCTGATATAAACTGGTTTAAGGTAACTTCAGCTGTCACGATGCAGATTTTTTTTCCGGATGGTCTTGGATCAGACAGCGGTGTCACTTTGCAGCTTTCCGCTTTGTTTGGTGCATTTTCATCACCATCACACCACCAACTTCATCACTACATTAAATCATGTTGTTCTATCAAAAGCAACATTTAACCCCATAAATGTACATCCACGATGATCAGAATTCTGCTTTCATAATGACTGTTACACAAAGATAGAGTCAAAATCAGAAATTAGGGCCTTCATAAAACAGATTGCTCTTTTGCTCTCGATAAATACCTTCAGCTGTTAGATAAGCGTGTTTGCTGACCCATTAAGTGGATTTTCATAAAAATGCGACAGCACAAAGTAGGCCTGACCTTTTAACCCCACACACCCCGCTCATCACAGATAGCCACTCAGCGCCACCCGATGTGACAGGGCTGTCAGAGCGCTCCTCGCTCCATGCGGAGCGGCCCCAGGTGGCCTCGATGCGAGGCGTTTCCCGCAGCTACAACCACCAAACCAGCGTCATGGAGACCGCAGATGGTGAGTTTCCTGCTCAGTCACTCACATACACACACTCACAGACACATAGAGTCCACTTCCCTTTTCCTGCCCCCCCCCTGCTGTCTGTCCCTCTGTCTGCCTGTCTGACTGGCACAAGCTACTGACTGACCCTCAGGTTGCCATGGTAACATCTACAAGCCCCTGAAGAAATCCTTTGTATTTCTAACTTCACGTTGGTGTTTACTGAAGAAATAAGCTTTTTCAGGACTTCTATTCATGTTGAGTGAAATAATCAGGGGGTGTTCTTATTTATGTGCCGATATTAATAGTTAGTTAATCAATAGTGTTGAACCACAAAAATGATTCCGTAAAGTGAGAATTGGATCCAGCTCCATCTTCCATTTGCATGCGTTCAATGTTTTGAGACCTTGTAGCCTGAAAACAAGAATACACAGTCAGCTGAGACCGTGCTGTTATTCATGCTGCAGGTTCCCTAAATCAGCCCATCTCCCCATCACATATCTCTGAAGGCAGTTAAGTCTGTGGATTTTCAAGATATGTACACAGTGCCATTTTTATTGCTTCTTCTTTTGCTGTGTGGTAGTCATTTTATTTAAACTCTTTGCCTCATTTGCAAGTTTCCCATGTGGGTATCTACAGAAAAGTGAAACCTTTGTTGTGGTACAACACAGTGAGGTCGTCGGAAAGCCCACTCTCACCTCCATGTGGCAGCTGGTGGATTTCTCACACATTCACACCCACACACACACAAAAAGTTGTCAGGGCTGTTTCATTGACATCCCGATGTGTCTCTCCTCTAGGCAGTGAGTGGGGTGGTGAAGGATCCCTCACTTTAATTGATGGTATTTATAACTGTTCCTCCAACTTTGTGGCAGTCTGCTGTATGTGCACTCTGCTGCGTGTGCGTTCGTGCTTGTGATTCTGCCTTCACCTCCGCAGTCAGGACTAGCACTTGTCCCAAGTCGTTTGTGTTTTACAGAAATATAGAAATGGCCAGTACCGTATGTCTATTCATTTGTGTGTGTGCGTGTGTGTGTGTGTGTGTGTGTGCGTGCGTGTTGATTTTGTGGAACCGGACTGTGTGAAAAGCCTTCAATCAACATGTTGACACACTGGTTTCTTATCTCAAAGTCTGACACTAAGACCTGTCAGTATATGCTTTTCTCTGCAGACTGTGACCTCAGGCTCTTAAGCCTGTAGCCAAACACAAGCTTCAGGGGCAGCAGCCGTTGAGCACTACTGCCATTTTATCATTGACTCATAGCTTAGAGTAGAAAACTTGTTAGAGTTTACTGAGTTCCATCTACAGTATATTTGATTCCAAAACTTTCACACTCTGACTTGTCAAACTTTTGATTACTCTCTCAACATAAATCCAGACGTTTTTAATGGGCTGCTTGGTATCAGAAGTGTATTATCTAAAAAATTTGGCTGAAAATAGCTTCTAACAATTGCAGCTAGTGGTCTTTGAGTAAAGCCTGTTAAAAAGTGCCTAAGCGGTACCACAAAATGTGGAGAAAATGAAACTATGTATTCATGAGCCATTTATATGTCCAAAGTGGTCGGCAAACAGTCTGAGGCTGAGACCCGCAGACAGGGTCAAGAGCTTGGAAAGACAGATGGAACTAACATTTTGTCGGTTTCGGTCTGGAGTTTGTTACAGTGATTTGAAAAATAGAATAACAAGCCCTATTTCTTAAGTTTCTGTCTACTTGTCTGGATGTATTAGTCAGTTGTGGACATTCTGTTGTAATAAAAAATAAATGTTACTGTTGTACAAAAAGAAAAAAAAAAACAACCGAGGTCAGTGTTTCCAGTATAATTTAATGTTGTAGATTTGTAAATGACAAAATCATTAATGTGGTAATTATGGGCATCTTTGTGGGTTGGTCCTTGTTGGTTGTGATATTAGTGATCAGAGCTCAAACTGGTGGGGTTCATGGCCTGCGTTTCAGGGCCTTTCTAATTGGCCCATCAGGTGTTGCTGGCCCCCCAAACATCTGCTCCCCATGCATCTGTCCCTATATGAAGGGGCAGCCGTCTGTCTTAGCCAGCCCCATCATAATGAGATAGATCAAGCTTGCTGTGCACAGCTGTGGCTTTCAGCTCCTGTGTCCGTTTGGAATGTTGGACACATTCCTGTTTTCAAGACTTGAGAATGTTTTCATATTTTGGTAATAATGTATGTGGATTGTTAAGTGAAACGTGTGGAAAATATCACAGGACAATTGTTGGTCCTACTTTTTTCTCTTATATCTTTTAGTTTCTCTCATTCTCGTCCTTTTGTTTAATTTGCAGAGGTCTTTGTCTGAGAACACGCTGTGCCAGTAAACAGTATGCTGTCCTGTACATAGCAAAGCACGCATTTGAAATGATGTGCATATCTCTGGAGTCATGCTTTAAGTGTCCTATCTTTTCAAATTTAATGTGTGCGAAACAGATGCCTTTTGAAATATCTCCTAACACATGTGCTACAGAGAGGACATCTTTGTTGCTAAGCAGCAGCAGAGGCGGCTTCTCGTTTCCTTATTTATTTATGTGCAGCTTGTCACTGATTTTAGAGCAGCTCGACTGTCTGTGACCTCCAGGTGACTGTCGAGCCTTGTGGTCCATTGCTTTGTTATCATGCCAAAGTGTGAGTGACAGCTGGTTGTCCTCTGTCTCACTGAAACCCCCCCACTGACCTTTTTCTCTTTATCTGTCCTCTTTTTACACATCTTCTTCTCAATTCCTCATCAATCGCTCAACATTTCCATGCATGCTTTTCTCCCCCTTACACCACTCCAATATGCCTTTTATGTCCACTACTACCCTCAACTTCTTCTCGCCTTGTTTACAACCATCCCCCCTCCCTTTTTACTTTTTTTCTCCTCCGTACTCATTTTGTAGGTGTACCAGTCAACAGCCGTGTCTCCAACAAAATCCAGCAGCTGCTAAATACACTGAAGCGACCAAAGCGTCCTCCACTGCGCGAGTTCTTTGTTGATGATTTTGAGGAACTTTTGGATGGTAATTATGTTTCCTTTATGAATTAGTAAGTCTTAAAAAAGGTATTTTTTGCACTTTCAAGGGCCCACTAGATGGACCTGTGATCACGAGAAGTGGAATGTACTAGAATGATCAGGCCCCGTCCTTGTTTTTCATAAATTCCAGCCCCCTATGGTGGTGGTGTTGGGTGGTTTTCCTCCACTCTGAACAAACATTTTCTCTATGAAAATATGATAGGAATACGTCAGCAGGTGATTGTAAAGCCCTCATGACACAAGGGCTGTTGTGGTGTGCTTAGTGTGAGCAGAAAAACACTGTGAGGGGGAAAAAGCAGCCTGGACTGTTACAGCTCTGTTAAACAGCTCTTTCCTCTTGACAGATAAGCTCAGAGTGTGGTAAGGGAAACAGTGATAGACTGCCAAAACCAGGCAAGTTGTATTACGCTTTAAGAAACAGAGAAAGGACTCACCTAACATTTAGGGAGCAGGAAACGGTTCCCAGAAATGTGCCAAACAGCCTACTTGTATTAAGAAGAATATGAAAAAAAAATCATAATTTCTTTGATCATTTGGAGTTTCCAATCCCTTCAATCCCCTATCACTGTCTTTTAGTACCAAACTGTTATCCATTATTTTATATTGAGATGTTTTTGAATGTGACAAAACCTCTGGACCCATTCTCTTATAAAGAAAGTACCCACAGACCCACTGTCCCCACAAGAATAACCAGTGCTCCCTGCTTTTGCTATAGTCCAGCAGCCAGATCCCAACCAGCCAAAGCCAGAGGGCCAACAGATGAGACCCCTCGAAGGAGAGCCACTCGGAGTGGTCAGCAACTGGCCCCCGTCTTTGCCAGCAGCCTTACAGAGATGGGGCACCTCTCATCCAAAGAGCCCCTGTCTAACAGCACTTGACAATGCTGGCAAGCCCATCTACACACTCACCTATGGTAGGTGTTGACCTGTGGACGATTGGCCCATGATTGAATATGGACAAGGAAGCACCTGTCACTGTATTGACTTGTCTGGGTGAAATTTTGTCTGATCAAAAGATTATGTTATTAAAGTGTGTGTTAACCCTTGTAGGTAAACTGTGGACCCGCAGTCAGAAGCTGGCCTACACACTTCTTAACAAGCTGAGCACCAGAAATGAGCCTTTGCTATTGCCTGGAGACAGAGTAAGTCATGGGATCGAACTGCATGTTTAGTGGTGATCAGCTGTTGTGTAAAGTATGCTTTGTTCAATTTTGAACATTTGGTTGTTAAATAACATCTATTTAAAAAAGTGCAAAATACCATTCTGTTAAAAAGCTGCCAAGGTCAAACAGTGCAGCTATCAGCATCTCTAACGCTCTAAAATCAACACACTTTGCTGATTTTGTCCAGTCACATGCTTGAATGAAAAATAACTGTTCCAGGTTTTGGAGCGGTGTTGGATGCCAGAGCATAAATAAACACAGGCTTGCTGTTTGACCGTTTCCAATCCCTGTCCTAAACTAAGCTTACTGGCTGTCTGCTCTAACGTAATATTTATTATAAATTTGAGATATCAACTTACCATCAACCAAAGAGCAAATAAATCTATTTCCCAAAATGTCAAACTATTTGAAAGTGCAGAATTTTATACCAAGACTGAGTGTGTTGATTTTTTTTTCTCTTGTCTGACATACAGTATCTCCTTCACCTTACCACATATTTCCTTTAACATTCTGACACAGTGCCCATTTAGCGTCTCAACCTTTTGTTTTCGTCATCTGTAATCGAAACAAAAATAACACCAAGGCTACAAAAATCTGTTGTGTCTTGAGACGGCCTCTTTGAATCTCCCTCAGGTGGCTCTTGTTTTCCCCAACAACGACCCAGTGACGTTCATGGTTGCCTTTTACGGCTGTCTACTCGCAGAGCTGGTACCTGTGCCTATTGAAGTGCCACTGACCAGAAAGGTAACAACAAATGCCAGCGGAGTCTCTTGGTCTTTGTCCTCAATAGATTTGACATGCTTGGATGTCCTACTCTTGTCAGAGCACTACTGACCCCTGCTGGATGTTGAATGGATAAACATTAAAGGGGAATCTAATCCAAACAGCAAAAAATCGTCCACTGTTAATATGAATGTGTGAATACTACTTAAGAACATCAGGTTTTCCACAGATGGCCCTTTTTTCTGCCCAACATGGCAGCGCTGTCTCTGGAATATTTTATTCCAGTACCTTAATGTGGTTCAGATAACAGCCCACTCATCAGCTCATACAGAGCTCAATTTTTTCCACATTAGTTACACAGGCTGAATTTTAATGAGTGCTCTTGATGGCTCTTTATAAGCATGCTGTTAGCACATGATGTGCTGTAATTAATGAAAGATGAGTGAGGTGAAACGATGAGTAATTTATGTCATAATATTAGATCACAGGCTATCTGTTCTTGAGAGTCAGAATCTCATTTGTTTATTCTGACAGCTCCTATCCTTCTCCCTTTGTTTCCTTCTGTCTTTCTTTTTTTCAATCATTATCTTCCTCCTCTCCATCTCTTCCTCCCCTCTGTCCTCGTTCTGTCTCTCTTTCTTTCTCTCACTCTGTTTGTTTAGCCTTACTGAGCTGCGCAGTATGCTCAGCATGAGTCTAGCTCTGAGATCATTTGCATAGCCAATCAAATGTGAGTGTGTGTCACATCTTGGGTTTCATTCCTGCCATGATCTGTGTAATACGCAGCAGTTGATTTTTTTTATAATGATTGGCTGTCACTCTGTCTGCTCACCTGCTGATGCTTTTATCTGAGGTATCTTCTTTTGTTCTTTTCTCTTCAGTAACATTCCCCATGTTTTTCCATTTTATCTGGTTCTGAATACGATTGCTCTTAATATTGAATAATTGTGTGTCAGATGCTGTTACCCAAAGGAACTCAACTTTTTAATCTTCTCTGGCCTTCCAGGATGCAGGAAGTCAACAGATTGGGTTTCTGTTAGGCAGCTGTGGGGTCACGTTGGCATTGACCACTGATGCTTGTCAGAAAGGTCTTCCAAAAGCACAAACAGGGGAGGTGGCCACTTTCAAAGGTACAGCATTTTTTTTTGTTTACCATTGTGAGTGTGTGAGTTTTATTGGGCCTGAAATGATTCCATGTCTCATTCTCTGCAGGCTGGCCGCGGTTGCTGTGGTTTGTGACAGATGGAAAACATGTTGTGAAGCCTCCAAAAGACTGGCACCCTCCAATACGGGAAGCCAGTAATGAAATAGCCTACATAGAAGTGAGTGCATTTTCATTAAATGCTGTGGACTGATTGTAACAATGAAACATGATGATACATTAGGTTGTATCTTCACATCATTTGTTCAATACCTTCTAAATAAGATACATATATTTATAATAATAATTAGACATTAAACATTTTTCCATCTGTATTAAATTAGTATAAAACCAGCAAAGAAGGAAGCACCATGGGAATCACAGTTTCTCATTCAGCCATGCTGGCCCACTGTCATGCCCTCACACAGGCCTGCTGCTACACAGAAGGTGAGTCAGACTGTACATGCTTCTTATGTATGGTCTTGTTGGAATCGAATTGGTCATGTTGCTCTACATTTCTTTATTTATATAGCATATTAGATAACAGGTCATTTTCAGTGAGGAAGACGGTTTTATAATGTATTGTATCATATAAGTCCTCCCCGCACACATTGTACCTGACATACCCTCTCTGGTGCTATTAAAGTTTGATAAATGCAGCTGCTCAGTTGGTTTTATTTCACTCTATCAGACCTGGGTCAGGTCTGCTTAAAAAGAAAGAGAACATAAAGCACCTCCCATCTTCCCGTGTCCCAGTTTAGCTCTAAATAACTGCAACTGCATGAGTTGCAACAGACTCTAATATTTAGCTTGGTGTCACACGTCTGCTGCTTTTTATGCTTTTTTAAAATGCTTTTTTTCCCATAATTTAGAAATTCTGGGAATCTTGGACAAAATGTCAACTTTTGTTGATCCTTGCTTTATCATTTTTTCTTTTCTTTATTTTTTTTATCTTTGTAGCCGAGATAATAACAAATGTCCTGGACTTCAAGCGAGAAGCAGGACTGTGGCACGGTGTCCTCACTGTAAGTTTTCTTTCAACATTCTGGTAAAGCTCATATGATGGGAATATACAGATATGATTATATTTGGGCAGGGATATTTCATGGATAAATGTTTACCAGAAATATATTCAAGGCACAGTCACATTTTTTAAACCCAATTTGTGTTTTATAAGCAAGTTTCTGTCAGCCCTGCATGTGCAGCCATGCATGGGGATTTGTTGGCATGGTGAGGAAGGTAGAACAAAAAGTTCTGAAAGATATTTCTGCCATGAGGCTCTCCAGGACCGTTTTTAGATGTGCATAGCTAGTTAGTTAGTTAGTGTTTATCAGCCATCTCCACTGAGAGCTCACACACACTCAAAAAACCTGGTTTTCAAACATGCCACAAAATAATAAAATCTCACTATGTATATTGGGACACATTATTTACCTTCACATTATTTACATTTGTAATGCAGTTCTTAGATATTTAGCAGCTTATTTGATGTTTGCTGCTCTCGGCAGAGTGTCATGAATCGGATGCATGTCATCAGTATCCCCTACTCCCTGATGAAGGTCAACCCCCTGTCCTGGATACAGAAGGTTCACATGTACAAAGGTGAGGCTGCACATACTTAAACTATTATTGGCATTCTCTGACAGTTGCATCTGAGATAAGGGAAAAATAAAAGTATTCTGAACAGTTTTTGATAAAAAAAATCCCCTCTGTTAGTATGGAGCATTTCATTATTGTCTGTTGTCAGTTAAAGCTATATGTCTGTGCCCATGTTTGGTGTCAGAATGTGCAATCGATGGTCAGACTATTTCTAGGGCTAGAAGATGGATACATGGGTGATTCTATTGTTTTTTTAAAACATTTTCCTAACCCGTGTAGCTCGAGTGGCTGTTTTGAAGTCAAGGGACATGCACTGGTCTCTGCTGGCCCAGAAAGACCAGAGGGACATCAGCCTGAGCTCACTGCGCATGTTGATTGTAGCTGATGGAGCCAACCCATGTGAGTACATCTGCAGATAGGTTTCATTGAAAAAGCAACCGGGAGGCATTAAACATCACAGTTCGTTTGTATATCTGTTTGACCGGCTCTGTGTGCACCGCAGGGTCGATATCCTCGTGCGATGCCTTCCTCAATGTGTTCCAGGCACGAGGGCTACGACCTGAGGTGATCTGTCCATGTGCCAGCTCCTCAGAAGCTATGACTGTCGCCATCCGCAGGTAAGTCGCTGTTACTGCAATTGGTTGGAACAAAACAACCAGCATCCAACGTGCTGTTATATCCTGCAGTGTTTGAGACATCTGCTGGATCCTGCAGCAAGAGAGGGAGATTTATTTACTGATGACAGACTGACTAAACAACATGGCTTCAAGCAGATTAGCTTGAGCTGTTTAATGCACTACCATGCAACTTTTGAATTATTATAAAAGTCTGGAATTTGTTTGGGGAGACGTAATCAATCATTCTCATATAATTAACACAGTTTTCTTGTCTCCTTGTTAGATGTCAGTAAGACCTGTTTATAGTTCAGATTGTTGTCATGTAAGACAGGGGGAAAGTGACAGGGTTGGTCTATGTTTTGTTTTGTTTATAGTGTTCTGTAACTGTAATTTTTTGTGTATTGGTTTTTTTTTTTCTCACAGACCTCCAGAAGTGGGTGTGCCTCCTCCAGGGAAGGCGGTGCTGTCTATGGGTGGACTGAGTCACAGTGTGATCCGTGTTGACACAGAGGAGAAACTCTCTGTCCTCACAGTGCAGGACGTGGGACAGGTCATGCCTGGAGGTACATTGTAATATTTTACCTCTGTCAATGACTGAAATCTCCATGTAGAAAAGAGATTTATTTACAACATTTTTAAGAAACTGACATTACAATCTTTCATGTTGCTATCTTCATAAGGTGATAACAGAATACCAAACAATACACTGATAGATGATCATAATGTCATGTTCCAATCAATAGAGGATCATTTGATTCGACATGAACTAAAACTAATAAATAATGTTTTAGTTAAAGCTAACTTGGTTAAAGTTACTTAAGCTATTTTAAACAACTGACTGGTCTAAGAATGTATAAACCCTGCAGCCGTCCATTTTCATTTTGCATTTCCAGCTCTGGTCTGTGTTGTGCGTGTGGAAGGGACGCCTTATCTCTGTCAGACAGATGAGGTGGGAGAAATATGTGTGAGCTCAGGTGGCACTGGTTTAGCCTACTACGGCCTCCCGGGCATGACCAAGAGCATTTTTGAGGTGAGCTTGTTTATTTCTGTAAGGGTTCTGTTAGTTCCTTTATATACTAAGTTTTGTTAGTAATTGGCAACACAAAACACTGCACCAAGCTCACTTGTGCTATTATTCCTGCAATTTCATAAATTGTGGTAAGGGGTGAAGTGATTTTTTTAACCGTATTTTCAGATATGAAAATCCACGCACTTGCCATTTCTAATGGCACAAAACAATATTAGTAATTGTTACTGTTACAATAAACATAAAATATCATTTTAGTTAAAACTCAAAGTTTTACTTATCTTCTACAAGTGAGCTTTTTGATGATTAGTTTTCTAGGGGGAGTTTTTGTGCCTTTATTCCTTACATTTTCTTGTATTAATCTCTTTGTCTGTTGTTGCAGACTGTCCCAGTAACAACATCTGGGCTCCCCATCAGTGACAGACCCTTCACTAGAACTTCACTGCTGGGTTTTGTGGGCCCAGTAAGTTCCATTATAATAGTCTGTTTGTTTTGTATTTCCCTTTGTTTTGTTTGCTCTAGAGGTCGTTATTTGATAGTGGCCTGACAGGAAATGGAACAGAGAGAGTGAGAGAGAAAGTGAGACAGGGATAGAGAGAGAGAGAGAAAGATGTAGAGGGACATGCACCCACTGAACTAAACATCTTTTTTTTTTTTTTTTTTTAAACCTTTCTGAACTTTTTGTAACACAACAGCTTGAAGATGAGTTGGTCATTTAGCACTGAGCTACTGTACAGTCTCACCGTCTGCATGATGTGTTTCCTTCCAGGACAGCCTTGTGTTTGTTGTGGGGAAGATGGATGGACTAATGGTGGTCAGTGGGCGGAGACATAATGCTGATGATGTGGTTGCTACGGCGCTGGCTGTTGAGCCCATGAAGTTTGTGTACAGGGGAAGGTAAAGAAAATAAGCACCGACATTTTTCATCTCAAGCAGTTCACATGGCACAGTGAACGACTGCAATAGTGTTGTGTTGTGCTGTGTGCTCCAGGATAGCCGTCTTCTCTGTTTCTGTGCTGCATGATGAGCGAATCGTTGTGGTGGCAGAGCAGAGGCCGGACGCCTCAGAGGAGGACAGCTTTCAGTGGATGAGCCGTGTTCTTCAGGTACCACCTCTATCTCAATGTCACATTTGATCCAACGGCTAAACCTCGGACTTGATTTAAGTATTTGATTATTACTGGCATCTAATGTGCTGAGGTAGAGTTCTGGGGCAAAATAAATTTCAAACATTGCCATGTGTTCATTGGCATGTAGCTAGAAGGCAATAAATCGGCTGTAATGCAGAACTATAAGCAATGATACAACTCATAGCTCATGTAGGTAAGATTCACACTTCTTGTCTACTGGACACTGCTCAGTTTATTTCCTCATGTAACTATACAGGAAAGAAGAACAAGTATGAATTTATGTGAAAACCTGTTTCCAGGCTATAGACAGCATCCACCAGGTCGGGGTGTACTGCTTGGCTCTAGTTCCTGCTAACACTCTACCCAAGGCTCCTCTCGGTGGCATACACATATCTGAGACCAAGCAGCGCTTCCTGGAGGGGGCCTTGCACCCCTGCAACGTCCTCATGTGCCCCCATACATGTGTCACCAACCTCCCAAAGCCGAGACAAAAACAACCAGGTAGGCCAGCAGTCTTGCCATATTAGACGGCCGTGGTTGTTTCATCATAATATGAATTTTTGGTGCTGACTTCATTTAAATGCATCATTATGGTTTGGTTGTTCTGGGCAGAGGTGGGTCCTGCTTCTATGATAGTGGGGAACTTAGTGGCAGGCAAGAGGATCGCACAGGCCTGTGGGAGAGACATGGGACAGCTCGAGGACAATGACCAGGCACGTAAGGTAGATTGCCATCCTCATTTCACCCATGACACACCTCAGTACATACATTGCAGACAAAGGTAAGAAACACATCCCAGAGAAAGCAGAGCAATACAGCACTAATCTTATGAAGATGACACAACTTGGCTTTGGAAGCCCCCCAAAAAGAAACACAAGCACTGAATGGTGAAAATCCAATTTTCCTCCATCACAATTTTCATCCCTTTCATCCACTTCATATAAAATGCATCCTGCTATATCTGGCTTTCTCATTTAAGACAGTCACCATGCATCATTATTCATTAATTGATCATTTGAATATGTCATTTTCCATGTGACTTTTCTGTGTTTATTGCTGTCAGTCTTCTGTAGTCAAATCTTTGTGTCTGTATTTTCTATGTAGTTCCTCTATATTCAGGATGTCTTACAGTGGAGAGCTCAGGCCACTCCAGACCATCCATTGTTCCTCGTTCTCAATGCCAAGGTAAAGGATCGTACTCTGGAGATAGAGACCTTATTCATTCAAAGATTTCTACTAATTGTAGTTTGAAAAGAGACATTACAATCTAAAGAATTTAAGGAGAAAAACAATTTTAGATTCACCAACTAATTGCAAGTTGTACCTAAACTCATTCACTTACTGAAAAGGACAAAAATCTAATTTTTATGATTTCAACAACTTTTTTTTTTTTCGGGTCAACCTTATCAGCAGTGAGAAATGACTTGATTCTTGTAATGGTGTATATGGGGTTTTGCCTAAAAGATGGGCCATGAAAAGAATGAATCAGAGATCTGATTCAGAACAGATCGTATCACTTCTCATGAAGTCCATTAAAATCCATTAAAAAACATTCCTGATTTTCTTTAAAGCTTTACCACTGAATTTGATCATCTGATTTCACAGAACATAATTTTCCCTCTTGTGGTGTTACTGTAATAAAAGTTGTTGCTTTATGTTTTGATTTATTTATTTCACACAGCATCCCAAATTTTTTTCAATGGAACTCAATAATACAGCCTGTAATCCTATTGAGGAATATTCTAAAAAAATCTAATAAATGTAAATTGTTCTTTCATTAAACGCCCCCCAGGGCACAGTGGCCAGCACAGCTTCCTGTCTGCAGCTGCACAAAAGGGCAGAGCGGGTGGCAGCTGCTCTGATGGGACGTCTGAACACAGGAGACCACGTAGCACTCGTCTACCCGCCAGGAGTGGATCTGATCGCCACTTTCTACGGCTGCCTGTATGCCGGCTGTGTGCCTGTCACCGTCAGACCCCCACACCCACAAAACCTGGCCACTACCCTTCCCACAGTCAAAATGATCGTTGAGGTGAACAACCTTCAAAAATGCTTTTAGTCCATCTCTTTACACTTTTTTACCGCCGCTGAATCTAAACGAGCTTTTCCTTGACATCAAAAGTGTGCCAAGATTTTAAAGTCAAATGTTCGGTATGTAATGTTATCGCATGATTTGTGTTTTAAGGTAAGTAAATCAGTGTATATCCTGACGACCCAAGCAATAATGAAGCTGCTGAAATCCAAAGAGGCCGCGGCTGCTGTCGACATCAAGAGCTGGCCCACGGTGCTGGACACGGGTAGGTTTTCCACTCTCACTCTCAGACGAATCGAGGGGCTTTGTCAGAAGCTCACAGTTCATTCTTCATTTAACAAAGTGATTGTGCATTTTCTACAGATGACCTCCCCAGGAAGAAAATTTCTCAGATGTACAAGCCCCCAACCCCAGAGATGTTGGCTTACCTGGACTTCAGTGTGTCCACGACAGGCATTCTAGCAGGGGTCAAAGTATGTCACTTTTAGTGGATACAAATGTTGCCAGTACCACCATCATTTTGAGAAGATACAAATCCCTCCATATCCTGTTCATGACCTTTGAACATCCTTTTTGAATGTAACCTTTCTCCTTTAGATGTCTCATGCTGCCACCAGTGCCTTGTGTCGCTCCATTAAACTGCAGTGTGAGCTGTACCCGTCCCGGCAGATAGCCATCTGTCTGGACCCGTACTGCGGCCTGGGCTTTGCTCTCTGGTGCCTGTGCAGGTGAGGTAACCACCCAGCACAAATGTTCTTTATGTATTTCCTTTTAGTCTTTTTTTTGTTTTCTTATATATTTATCTTTTCTTAGTGTGTATTCCGGTCATCAGTCTATTCTGGTTCCTCCTCTTGAGCTAGAGAGTAATGCTTCTCTCTGGCTTGCTGCGGTCAGCCAGTACAAAGTGCGCGTCACCTTCTGCTCCTATTCAGTCATGGAGATGTGCACCAAAGGCCTGGGTTCACAGACAGAAGCTCTACGGGTGAGTTTGTTTCCTTGCTTTTGGAAAAATCAACCGATAGTCTTTTCTCTTCCAAACATTTTAGTGGTTTACTCACTGTTTGTATGCAATTGATGTAGAAGAACTCGCAGTGTTTTTAACATTCTTTTTCTTTGTTAAGCTGCGAAATGTGAACCTATCCTGCGTGCGCACATGCATGGTGGTCGCAGAAGAAAGACCTCGCATATCCCTCACTCAGTCCTTCTCAAAGATCTTCAAAGACTTGGGGCTCTCACCTCGAGCAGTCAGCACCACTTTCGGCTGCAGGGTGAATGTTGCCATATGTCTGCAGGTAAGCAGCGGGAAAAGCTAAATGGATGGAGGAGTGAAAGCTTCCAAAGAGAATTAACATTCCCTTTTTCTGGAAAATAAATCTACTTTTGGACCAATGCAACCTCTCAATGACTTGTTAGTGATAATTGAAGTGGTTCAAATCACAGGGAAGCAGATAAGAAAAAAAAGATAAAACAATTAAAATGTACTATGACTTTATCTATTGTTTTTAGATGTTAGTTTAATGCCAGTGAGTATCAACCAATTGGATTTAAATCCTGACTAGAAGAATGTAATAAAGATGAAATAAGATGGTTATTCAGAGTATTCCAGATTGAGCAGTTTGACACAACTGAAAGTGAGCAAACAGTTCGGGTGCTGCCGAACAGAACAACATATCTATGTAAACACAGGATTCTGATTGGTTGATTAAGGAATGAGAAACTACTCACTTCTTTTATTGCTGGCTGGAACGTGTTAAATTGTGCTGTGCTTTTTTTCCCTTTTTGCCAAGTGATGTATTGTTTTGACTTGCCAACCTTGACTTGTTTTGCCTTTGGCAGTTGTTTTTTTCATTTATTTATTTCTTTAAAATGAGAAAGAGAAGAACTGAATGTCTTTTAGTGTGTCCTGTGTATCTTTAATATTTTAAAAATTTCCCTCCCCAAATCATACAGATTTTTTTTCTTTTTTTTGGGTGGAAATTTGTTTCTGCGTTTGTGTTCCGAGTAACTGAATACATACACATATATCATTATTTATCTGTCCTGCCCTGTCCCGTCAGCCCAACAGGTTAGGGAAGCTGGCTGAGCAGGTACAGTGGAATAAGACTGGCTGTTTGCCCTGCAGCTGTCTGTGTGTGCGCTGTCACTTTGTGTATTCTTTGTTATTTATCGTGCATGATGTTTAACCATGCTTTGCCTCAGTTCACTTGCATTTTTTTTGTCTTCATTGATTTATATGTTTCTTGGACAGGTTTCACTTGAATTTTAGGAGATTCTTCCTTGTATCAGTTGGCTGTCCGCTCAGCTTTTAGATGACTTTAATTGCATTTAATTGAGTGTTACTTTGGACAATGAGGTGGTGGCATATTTCTGATAGTTCATTTAAATAATTATTTTAATGCAAGTAGATGAGAAAGGCTGTTATCTCCATTTTTACAATGTGCTGCAAACGTTACATGGAAGAATTGACTGTCATTTTTCATGAATTAACAGTCACAGGATTGTTTTTTCTTTATTTTGGATAGATTTTTGGCAATGCAGTTTCATTTTACGCATTCATTTAGCAATCGTTAGAATGGAATAAAGAAAATGGCAGGATATTAAAGGTCAGACAGCTTGCTTTGTTTCTTTTGGGGTTTTTAATGTTGTTGTTTTTTTGTATGAAAAAGAATGATCTCTGGATTTATTCAATTTTTTTTTTATTTCAAATACGTCCTGTTGCTGAAACCTCTGCTTGGCTTGATGGACAAATGTCCAGCGACTCATTCAACATGATCAGCCCACTCTGTGCCTAGTTGCACCCTCTCAGACCTCAGTAATGCAGCAGCAAGCTTGTGCTCTGTCTAGATGCTGGCTACTCTGGAAAAGGAACCGTAGGAAACCTAATTTGTTGTGACTAGTCCTACCGCAGTAAGGATGACAAATCCCACCACAGATGGAATCAATTTCTGCTTGTAAAATGGTTCAGTTAGATTCAGCTGCATGACAGCCTGTTAATCAAAACTAATGGTGCTCACACGTCTGGCTGCTGGGTTGTTTTTTTTTTTTCAAAAGAAAGAAAAGAGAAGGAAATATTGACTGATTTATATACGGATGTACATCCTCCAATTTTTCCAAGAAAGTGATGGCGGAAATGTTTGTGGTTGAGTCCTAACTATGTAGCCTGGCTGGTTTGCTTCTGGCTGCCTCTGCTTTGTCAGCAGCTGTTTCATAATAAGCTTCCACCGATCCTCCACTCAGGCAGCATACAGCGACCATATCAGGAATAAGAGCAGAAGAGGAAGAACTCATGTCCGGCTTTGCTTGTATTTTACAGGGCACATCTGGACCAGACCCCACCACTGTTTATGTGGACATGAGAGCTTTACGACACGATAGGTGATGGAGGGACTCCAGTTCGCAAAAAGCACTTTTAAGTTCAAAAGTACACCTTTTGTTTTCTTTTTCTAAATTCAGTTTGTGTTTGTTTGCTTGTTTAGAGTGCGTCTTGTTGAGAGAGGATCTCCACACAGTCTGCCACTGATGGAGTCTGGGAAGGTAAAAACATGCACTCTGAAACGGATGACTAACTCTCCAAAGTGATGTTGTTGTTTTTAATCTGAGCCATTTCTATCGGCCCGTGTAGATCCTCCCTGGGGTAAAAGTGATCATTGCCAACACAGAAACAAAAGGACCCTTGGGAGACTCTCATCTCGGAGAGGTAAGTCACAAAATATGTTTTTCAATACAGGACGTTTTTTTTCCCAGACTCTTTTTCTGAGGTCTGAATGGGTTTGTGCGCACAATTTCTCTACTTGACAAAAGGGTTCATTTGCCAACAAACCAAGTGATAGTGTTTTTTGGAAAGGGGTAAAACGCATCCATTTGAAATGATGGAAAATTGCCCTTCTTCTTTTAGCACCAAGTCCTAAAACAAGTGTTTGTGAATCCAGTGGAAAGATGCAGACAGCAGCAGTGTGAACCGACCAGGGCAGCATTTAGCATTTAGCATCCACATTATTCCACCTTTTCCCTTAGTGGAGCAGAACTCCCTGATTATATTTTGTGATGTTCAGAATGGATTGTAGAAATATCTGCCCTGTCCAGTTTAGTTTAGTTTCCGACAAATAAATGTGATTACGTCACATTGCTCTGTTCTTTTAAAATGTATAGACTTGGGGAGGTAATGCTGTTGGTGAGTGACCTCACTTATCTGCCTCTTTAGATCTGGGTGAGCAGTCCTCACAATGCCACAGGCTACTACACCGTTTATGGGGAGGAGGCACTGCACGCTGACCACTTCAACACCAAGCTCAGCTTTGGTGACACTCAGACCGTTTGGGCGAGGACGGGCTACCTGGGCTTCCTGAGGCGCACGGAGCTGACCGACGCCAGTGGGGGTTAGGACCACCGGCGCTTCCCTCACATGAAGGATTTTCCGCTTCCTTGTTGCCTCTTTATATGTGCTTTTCCTTGTCTTGGGAAGACTAACAAACCGTGTGTTTGCGTATATGTTTCAGAGCGCCATGATGCCCTGTATGTGGTGGGATCTCTAGATGAGACGCTGGAGCTTAGAGGAATGAGATATCACCCTATCGACATTGAAACCTCGGTTATCCGTTCTCACAAGAGCATAGCTGAATGGTGTGAAACCACATATTGAATCCACACAGTTAATCATTTCATATCAAAGATGACTTAAGTACATACAATGGTTCTGCCTAGGAAGCCTTTCAGTTCACTTCCTCCTCATTTATCCATCCTCTCCTGCTTTCCTCCCACCAGCGCCGTCTTCACTTGGACAAACCTCCTCGTGGTGGTGGTGGAGCTGGAGGGATCGGAGCAGGAGGCCCTGGACCTGGTGGCCCTGGTCACCAACGTTGTCCTGGAGGAGCACTACCTCATCGTGGGGGTGGTGGTGGTAGTGGACCCCGGCGTCATCCCCATTAACTCCAGAGGGGAGAAGCAGCGCATGCACCTCAGAGATGGATTTCTGGCCGACCAGCTGGACCCCATATATGTGGCTTACAACATGTGAGGGCTCAGGAGCATCGTGTGTTTTTTCCCTCAGCGTCTGAGGGGCCGGTGTCTGTGTGGTCTCTGCTGGAAAAAAGTCGGCCGCTCTCTTTGTTTCCAGCACGCAGAAAAATATGAAACTGCCATGGATGCAAAACTCTTTAAAAAAACTGAGAGCAAATGCTGCAGATCTATGACTGACTCAAACCTCACTCCCTTTTCTCTCATGATTCTTGCCTCAGCAAACAATGTGTTAAAGGGCATTCTTGTTTTATCGGCCAGGGGTTTTGGCTTTGGGACTAAACTCCAAACAAAGGACATGTGAGCAGCGTGCAGCGGGACTGGTTATGGTGGGAAACTGCAGCGTGCCATTAGCATAATTTATTTTGTGAACCTCAAAAGGATGAATGTTAATGGCGCACCTGTGCCATGAAACAGAACTGATGCCAGTGCACAAACCACGGTTGAAGCAGATGTGCGTCATCTCCTGGGAGCCTCCCGCATCGTTTTCAGGTCCTATGCTTTTCACAGAACACCTCTTGTGCAGGTCCTCACATTACAGCCATAGTCTTTCTCTCAGATCCCACTGATGCAGCAACAAAGGAGCACACATTAGTTGTATTTGCGGACTACTCCTTATTTTTTGTGCGTTCTTGAGGATGTGATCTAGTTTGTAGTGTTTCGAACTAATGATGTGGTGACCTAATTTCATGCTTTTTTTTTTTCTGAGATGTGTAAACACAGATACCGTTTTAGGTCAACATGCAATCGTGCGATGTGGACGACGTTGCATTGAATGACTGCACACAGTAAGTGCCAATCAAATGAGAGCGATGACGAGGAATATAATTGTTGCTTTTGTTAGCAGCGAGCTAAAGGATATGAATGAAGCCTTAAGTGTTTTTAAGACGCCCGTCTCTATCACAGCTGAAGTTTAAAGGCTGTTAGATGGGGCCAAAATATGCAGATGGAGGTTAGATTTGATAGATTTGAATCCTGCTCTTATTGCACCCAAAGTGTGTCATCTTTTATGTTTGGATAATTATACTTGATCCTAACGTCAGCCATTACAAAAAATTCACTCTGTGATTGTTTTCATGTCTGAATGTGTGTTTTGTAGCAAAGAGCTGAAAGAATTTGTAGGTTCTGATAGGGTTACAGAATGCGGTGGCCTCATTTTCCAGTGCCATAAGGTTGAATGAAAGCTGAATAATGACATGCTGCACATGATCCCAATGATCCAAATCTCTAAGATGAGCGTCACACTTTAACCTCCCACCTCGTTACATTGACTCTGTAAAGATTTCCCTCTGTTTTTTTGTGTACACATCACTTCAAAGACAGGCTACGGCCTGCTGTGTAAGTATGTACAGATTTTTGTGTAAATTATTAATAGATGAGGCGACAGCAGGATGTCTAACACAAAGACTAAATGTGGTATGTACGTAAACTCCCCCCTCACACACACACACAAATGATTTGCAGTGTATTCTTTTGTGGGAAGGCACACAATAGGCACACAGTTGGAAACACACAGTAGGAACTGGCCACCTCCAGGATGAGACGAAGCACACTCCAGCACAGAGAGACGATGGTAATGCTACGACTGCTGAGACGTCACATCCTCACAAAAACCTTTGTTGTCAGCGAACAGAATGATGATTCATTTGTCTGATATATGGTTAATCGTCATTATTTTCATAACGTGATTTCGTAATGAATAAAATACTTTTAACTTGAAATGTCGGTCTTCTCTCATAGCTCTCCCGGCTCACAAAGTGTTCGGCCAGAAATAATGGACCAGTTCAACCTGTATTTCATGGGTCCTTTTCCCCGTTTACTAATCTGAACGGGTTAAAGGAAGTTAGAATTAGATAATGTCTCCTTTTTTAGAATACAATGTATTTAATTTGGTTATTAAAAACTATTGGGATGTAGCGGATATGACTAGAAACCTGTTTTAAAAATGGTAAAAACTGAACTAAAAGTTTTTTATTTTTCCTGAATGTGTGTTGTTACCTAATGGTTGTAAGTAGTGGTTCACAAATACATTCTTATTGTTAACGAATGACAGCTCACCCCAAAGTGATGCTTTGCAAAGTAGTTATTGGTTTGCTTGGTTTTAACCTGTAACCTCGTACCTGCACGCATAGCTTTGAGAGGACGTTACCTTTTCTGGAGAAATGTTCCAATGTTCAAAATAATTCAAATTAGCTGTATGATTTATGGATTAGGTCATTTATTTTCAGAGAAAAAATTTAAAGAAACAGGAGGCGGTGATCAGAAAATTATGTTGGACATTTTACAGAATATGTCCAGTAGTAATGGATTAAATCTAAACAAATAACTCTACCCAAAAACATATTTCTTAGATCTCCTTGACATATCAACTCAACGTCATTTTTCATGTCACAAGTAAATATTCAGTACTGGATAGATATGCCCCCCCTCCCCCCAAGTAAACCTATGCAGGTTATCTTTTTAAAAATAATATCCAACCTAAAAGTAGATGAAGAAACTGACTGAAGAACAAATAACTCTAAGCACTCTGTACTCACAACGTTCAGTACAGTATTAAGAAATACACAGCAGTGTCTTAGTCAATGAAGTTTCCAGCAGGAGCATAAGAAAAAAACTGAACAAGTCAATTCACCATGTGGGCATAATAAAACTAAAAAGGAATTTAAACAAAAATGAAAAAAACCTTAAAAGAGAAAAAATAGCAAAACATAAGTGCATATTTGTTCATTTTCAGAACCATTGACTCAAGTGATCTTTGCGTAGCAATATTGTAAAAATTGTTTTAAAAAAAGCATTTTCTTAACAAAGACATTATGTATCTGGAGTTAAACACTTGAAGATTTGGTATTGATATTTGGTCAAAGTAATCGGTGTGTTTTACTGTGGTTACACTGGTCCTCAGTGGGTTGATCCATTTTGAAAAAGATAACATAATGACATAATATAAATTCACTTTGAAAAAATAATGCATGTGAAAAAGAGTCTAAAAAAGTTTCCAGTGTTCATTTCAAAATTCACCATATAATGCTTCTTAAGTGTGTGTTTACTTCACATATGTCTCCACTTTGCTCAGTAGCTCTGTCGCTGTGGTCAGCGCTAACACAGCGTTCTCCGATCTGAACTGCCCGTTTGGAATGTGGGGATATGGATGGCAGTTCGGGTATTGGGTCTTTTTTGGGTCCACTCCCAGAGTCTTCAAACGATCCACGAGCTGAGGCAGATTTGTCAGGTTGGCGTCGTAGCGGGACACTTTGGCGGCGCTGGCTGAAATGGAGCTGCTGTCGGGTTGTTTGCCATTCCGTTTGTACTCCGCAGCAATGAGAGCTTTCTCCACTGCTTGATGCACTTTAAAGAGACACCATTCTGTGCTCCCACGATCCATGTCATTTTGAGCAGCATCAAGATCACAGCGGGCCTGTTTATACCAGCGCTGGGCCTCCTCTTTGTTTGGCCTTGGGACGTTTGTGTTATGGGTCCAAAAATTGTAGGAACGGTAACCCCGAGAGAATCTTTCTCGCCCACTTCTGTGACTTCTCGCCTCCTGATTCCACTGCGGGTAGAAGTCTCTGAAGTTAAAGTTTCTGCTCGAATTAGATTTACCTACAGTCTTGCCTTTGCTGAGTTCATCAATTCTATTCTGTAAATATTTAAATGCCTCTGTGGCGAGTTCGGGGCAGTCAAGATTCTTGTCAGGGTGCCATCTAAGGTAGAGTCGCCTGATGGCCTTCTGCCTCTCCTCCTGAGGCAGTGTCCAGATCTCAGCCAGACATTTGTCAATTTCCGTTTTAGCCTCAGCAAAAGAGGCTGGCAAAGAACTTCTTGAAGGGCGGGAGGCATGTGGCACAGGCCCTGCTCGCTTCTCCAGCTCCATTGAAGATGTGGTTGTTCTGACTTCTGTTTTTTGTTTTTTTTCCCGTTTCAGCTGATACAGGTCAAGGTGGCTGACTTCAACCAGATCATCCTTTCCGATTTCAATCCTGTATTTTTGGGAACATCGTCCAGAGAGCCCGGGGAACACCTCAACAATGATCCCATAAATGTACTTGTTTTCAATCATGTAACCAATGTATTCTCCCTCTTCGAAGTTGTTGAGGAAGCTCATGTCCAACACATCATGCCATGCGTCAGGAATATCTGTCCCAGCAGCTGGTGGGCTGAGGTTTAAACTGTTGGTTTCAGCACTGTCGTGGATCTCATTCTCAGCCAGGGTTTTCTTAACCTCTTCCATGTCATCGCAATTGAGAAGTTGTCCAAGTACAGGCAGGTGAACAGATGATATCCCATGCTTTAAAAGAGCATTGACCTCCTTTATGAGCGTCATGTTAACGTTATTTATCACTTTGGGGGCCATGTCATCATTGTGCTTCAAGAAAAAAGTGCAGCCTGCTTGCTCTCGTCTGACATAAAGTCGCACTTCTCTGGCAGTTCTGTGTAGAGGCTGGTTGTTGAGCCACAGCATGGTCTCCAGCGTTTTGCAGCAGACTATTTCAATGCTGCCAAAAGTCCTGTCACACATCTCGGCAGCCTCTTCTTGTGAGAGTTTCCCCTTGGTATGCTCTCTGAGAAGACAAATTAGTCCATATCTGAATTCCACTGAAGAAAGGTGTTTATCAAACCATCCACTGAAGCCACAGCCATTCCCGAGCTCGCAGGGTTGCACCTTTGATTCCACCATCCTTTCCACAGTTAACTGAGACAACATACTCGGTTTAAATTCCGGAGGCAGCAAATTAACCAGTCGGTGGTGCTCGTAGATGTCATTCCCTAAGTGACAGCTACTGAGTCTCTCAAGCAACAGGAACTCGTCTTCCAGTGCCTCTTCCAGCCTTTTCGTCTCAAACATGGTGTCGTTGTAGTAGAGGGAAGATGATGGTTGTAACCTCCCATCCACTGCAGGCAGATACAAAGTCGTAACAGAAGCAGGGATAGCCTGACTTCCCTGAGTTTTGATTAGCTCAAATAACTGCTCAACAGCTCGTTTTACAGTCTTCTGCTGGTTTGGATTCAACTCTGGCTTATCACAGGTGTCAGTGTAAACTGCTGCCAGGACATTACAGTAATGCACTGCAGTGGCTTCGTTCTTCACACCGATCTTCTTAAAGAACTCTGCATACAAGGTATCCTGTGACGGAATTTTATACAAGTAGGGTCTGAACTCGAGGTCATGGAACAGTGAGAGACAGACAGCCTCAGGTTTAAAAAGCTGTGTGTCTTCCTCAACCAGCACAACAGGAAGAGCAGCCAGGGACTGTCCATCGAAGCCTTTTGCTTGCAGATATGCATAAGCACTGCGAAACACGTTAGCCCTGGTTCTGATCAGAGGCTCCGTCTCACATGGTGACTGACAGATGTTTCTGATGTTTCTGGTCACGCAGTCAGAAGGAGGATTTTCGTGTGCTCCTGCATGTTTGACTTCTTGCAGGAGTTTGGATGAGATGTAAACTGGTAGGTGAATAATTGGCATTGAGGACCAAATCAAGTCTTGATGTTCTGGATTTCTCTCGATCAAAGAACCTCTGATTGGAACAGTAGTTCTCTGTGAAGAAAATGGCTGATGATAGTTGCAAAGCTCTTCTCGAATCTTCACTGGAAAGATGAACTTGATGTCAGCTATTTTGCCGAGCAGCTTTGCCTCTTCCTTTATATCTTTGCTCACTTTCTGGAGGGTTTCCCTGAGGAGTAATGTTGAGTTTTTTTCCAGTTTTTCGAGCTTACAGTTTCCCTTTGCTTCTGTTTCTAGCTGGTATGCAAAATTAATGATATCATCTGTAGACACTTCATGCCTCATTCCAAGATCCCTTATCATTTTCCTTGCACTGCATTCCTTGTCTAGATCTCCTCCAGCCACCTCACACCAAAATTTCTTAGGAACAAACCTCTCTGGTGGAGCCATTCTCTTGTAAAGCTCAACGTGATCATCAAAGTAGTATGACGCAGTCTCCAGGTTGCCTTTGGAACTGCGAATGAGTTTAATTGTTTTCAGTGAGGACATGATTTTGTCCTTGTGCTGATCAAAATGTTTTAGTGAGAGCAACAGCTGGATGCAGTGAAGAATCTGTTTCTCATTGAGTCCGTGGACAGCGGGCAGAATGAACCTCATAAAATATTGCAAGTCATCCAGGATGGCAATGTTCAGCATGTCTGAAAGAGTCCGGTTCTCTGAATTGTATTTGAGGAAGATGCCGTGGGCGTTGGACAGGCTGAACAGATCCGGAAACTGCCCTGAGTGGATGCTGCTGAGGACAAAGACCTCTGCAGGCCCATCAATCCTCACTCTTTCCCCTTGAACCGTCTGAAATAGCGGCAAGGATTTAAGTTTCCTCTTATACTCTTGAATGTGCTCAGATTTGACGCTTACAGACTGAAGGAATTCCTGAAATTTTCTCATATCTTCACTTGAAAGGTGAGAAAACTCAGAGCTGTTGATTTTGCAGACCTGGTCCAACACTGAAATCTTGTCATTCACATCCATGAGTTCATCATTTAGAAGGCAGATTACTTTCCTGTCTGACTTGGAGAAAAAAGCACTGTTGAGCTTCACAAAACCAAGTTTAAAGAGGATGGGTGATATGTCCCATTCTGAGGCAGAATGAACCACGCTTGGCATGTTTTGCATCGTTTGCAGGCAGTGCTTGTTGTTCGACCTCGGGCACATAACAGGAAGGATGCTGCAGTCACTGAAGATCTTCTTCACATCACTCAATGTTGGACCCTTTTGTCCACCACTGGTTATTTTACTAAAAATGAACCTCCAAAAAACATTCAACCACTTGAGCATTTTTTCATTTGGGACTGGAAGACCACTGTCTAGATCAACGTCACACTGTTGAATGAAACCACGGATTAATGACTTCAAGTGTTTGGCTGCCTGGGGAAGAGTCAAACTCTCAATGAGGTTACAAACTTTCAGAGAATCAATGTGGCTCTTGTTCGTCTCATAATCTGCAAATCTGTCTTTGTTGTCTTGAAAAATACTTTCATATCTTGATATCAGTTTGGGAGATTTAGAGTCAAACATTCTCAGCATTTTGTCACTGGTGAGAAGAAGTGGAAGCCCATCGAGTGAAGCTGGACTTTGTTTAGTGTTCTTCACTCTGAAATCATCCAGACAGAAAGTCAGGAGCTGAGAACATCTCGTTTCATCTTTGATCAGAGTGGCAGTTATGGGCAAGGGTAAATCCTCATCTGTTTGAGTTGGATCGTTGAGGGCTTTTGTTTTCAGGAAGGTCCGGACAGCTGCTGGAGAGACTGACTTCACATCAATGCCAGCAGATCTGAAGTTTCTCCATATCTCTGACATTTTCATGGAAGTGGGAACCAGCTTCATTCCAAGGTTTTCCAAAATGGGATTAATGGAATCATATTCTGAGTGCATCAGGTAAGGCACTTCACTTACCTCTGTTTGACTGAGGTTACACCAGTTGATGGAGTACACTTGTAGTTCACGATTTACAAGCTTCTGTGTTGAGCTCCTCAGAACTGGGATCACATCAAGGCCCTTTTCCTCAACAGATCTGTACACCTCGTATATCATTTCATGCCACACTGGACCAACATCTTTTGAAGCAGTTGGCCAAAAGCACAAGTACGAGATACTTAAATGTAATTCAATATTTCCAGAAGAACTTGGCTTGACAGCAATCTTACATTTGATGTTGTACAAGAGATCAGCATACAGTGGAGCAATGAGGTTTTGTTTCAAACACTCGTTCCAGTTTGATTTGTGACTGTGGCCATCTTCAATCCACAGATTTTTCCTGCCAGCATCTACCTCAAAGTTTCCACTGATATGAACTGGGAGTCCGGTTTCTCCAGGCAGCGGAAGAGAACAAAATGCTGCACCTTTAAACATCAGATTACTGGACTGTGATGGGTTTGAGGACTTTGTGCTCACACGTGCAGCGATCGCTCCCTGTGGAAGTTTGTTTCTTTCTTTGTCAGCGTCTTTGAATGAGCCAAACTCTTCTGCAATGATCCACTTACTTTGCCTTTTGTCTGAGGTGGAAATAGTAGTTTCATAAAGGACCTTGTGTGGGGTTACGTCCCTCTCAGATCGTAATGCAGCTTTTAGTTGATTTACAAAGGCATCCTTTTCTTCTCTGCTACCTGGGGGCAGACTTTTTTCAACCACAAATTTTCTTTCCAGTTTTCCTGAACGTTCACTGATAACATGAATTTCTATTTTGCTGATGTTTTTCAGGAACAAAATCAGACCCTCAGGGTCTTCGGTTAAGGCAGAGAACAGCTCTGTCATGTCATTATCAGTTATTTCTTGTTGTGATATCTTGGACTTGGATGCAGTTGCACTATCCCTCAGTGGTAGCCTGAACATGGTGCCCTCTTGAAGAGAGAATTTGTCAGGAAGAAAGGATTTGTAGACATCCGCATACATCTCTTTGAAAGTGTCAAGTAGTTTGTACCCAGCGCCAGCCGGAGGCTTGTCTGTGTGACAGTCGATGTATTTCCGATTGGGATCAAAAACACCAAGCAATTCATCTCCAGTGATGATGGATGGACAGTCAGTCAGGTGGTAAACAGAGTTGAATCCAACTCCATATTTGCCTATTTTTCCAGGAGAGTTGCACTTCCCTCCTTCCCCCAGGTGCTGAATGCCTTCCAAGTCATCATTTGAGAACACTTTGTTGTTGAACACACACAGAGCTGGGCCCTGTAGACGATTCCATTTCGGCCCAAACGTTTTCTCTTTGCCATGCTGCCGTTTGTCCCAAACAAAGTGAATTTCTGTCGCCTCAGCATCATCAGCGTTTTGGATGAGCTCTTTGATGATATCCCTCTTTGATGGGTATGCTGACAGGATGTTTTTAATTCGAACAGTTAGCTGTTCATGCTGTTCAAATGGGAATGAATACGGGGACATTTCAGTTGTGCAGCCTTCCAAAGTATGGTGCCTGGTTGTTTTGATTCCAAAGTGCAGAGCCATTTTACGAGGGATATTTGCATGGCACAATGTGAGTTCTGGGGCTACCGGCATCCATGGGCTGTCATTGAAATGTAGCTCTTTCGCAGGTTGTAAAACACCATGCTCGTTTGGTATCAGACAGTCACTTGTTGTTTTGTTGTTGGCCTCAAATATTCCCTTGCTCAAAACTGTAAGGCAAATGGATAAATCACTCTCTGGCAGGGGCTTGTTTCCATGTTGAGAGTGCAGTTCTTCAAGCACAGTGAGAAACTGACTGGTGGTAAACTTTTCTTGAAGACCCACACTCTGCCAGAGATTCTTGAAACCACCGAAGGCAGGTGGCAGTATATAGAGATAAGGTTTTGCGTCAAATGACCCATTTTCAGCCACGGATTTGACATTTACAAATGTTTTGCCGAAAAGTACGAAGGGGAATGCATTTGCACACCTTGAAATGGAGGTGGTGTCCTCACAGCCACTAATCCATTGATCTAGAAACTTGTAGCACTCGTGTGCCAGTTTGTGCAGTACAGACCCGTCTATTGACTGTGACTGTCTCCATGCTTCTTGGAGCTGCTGAAGCACTATCGTTGGCTCTGGACTGCTGCAAACTCCCAACACTTCAAGGAGTGGATCTTTGTGGTGTATTTTCAAGCCAGCGTGATTCAGGACATGATGCTTCATGTTAACAAGGTGGGAGTCTCGGTCTGTGAAAACATTAGTTGGCTTTTGAAGTGTTGCATTTCTTTCCATTCTAACATCACCGGGCGAAAATGCGGGGAGAAAGGCAATCGTCTTCAGTCTCTCCCAGAGGGGTGCGTCTCTGTCATGTATGTGACTCCGCATTAATTCAAGAAGGCACTTCAGATGTGTATATGCTTTCTTTTGGTCAGCCTTCCAGGTTTTTGTCATCGTGCGTGCTTTATTTTCAATGTCCTCCAACAGAAGGTCATCATGTGCCATTCCAAGTTCAAACAAGCGCTGCACTCTTTTAGCGGAGCAAAAGTCATTTTCAGAGCCACCAAGTAAGCGGCCCTCTCCTTTTCCAAAAAGACAGGCTGCTCTCCCTGATGGACTGACGAGTTTGTTGATATACTGCAGCTGTCCATCTGTTGTGGGTATGCATGGATAATGCTTAAGCAGATTGTCAATTTCTCTGACATTGAGGTCAATCGCATGCAGCACAAGAGTATCTCTGCTCTTTGGGTCCAAGGTCTCCAGGTTTTTGAACACTCCCTCCTGATAGAACTTCTCCCAGGTCCAGGTTCTGCTCTCTAAAACTTCCCCCAGGCCAGCCTGTTTGAAGTTATTTCTTAACCACAGTGGTAGGTGAACAACATAGCCAGTTGCTTTTGCATATTTCTTGCACACCTGGAATGCAATTGAACTGATGCATGGATCTTCCTCAATGCTCTCGTGCAGAAATATGGTATTGTTCATTGAGCACCAGTGTTCTCCATCACTGAGGAGCTCAGGGCCATTGGACCGCTGAGCAATGGCAGAATAAAATGCGTCCACCAAAGGCTTGAAAGTATCAGTGACCTTCTCTCTGTCTGGCCAAAAGGTGTGATAACGGTAAATTTCCAGCTGGTCGTTTTGAGACATTTCCTTTAGTGCCAAAAGGGAAGTCAGATATGCTCTCACTACAGGATCTCGAAGAAGAGCTTTGTTCCACTCGCTTTTTACTCCACTTTCCCACAGACCTTTTCGATTGCTCATCACAGCAAAAGTTCCATTTATATTCACTGGAAGACCCGTGTGAATGGGAAGAGGCAGGAAGCAAAATGCCTGCCCAACAAGATGTGTTTGTAGTGGGGACAGTTTTTGACTTTTTTGCTTTATTTGCAAGGGCACGGCAATCCCCCCCATGGGCAAAGAGAACTTGGCTTTCTTGTTTCCGTTCAGAGCCATTTTCAAGGACTGATGTGTCCCAAAGCAGTTGTACAGGAGCCAGAGTTGTTTCTCAGTTTTACCAGCCTGCTGGCTGTCTATTTCAACAATGTTAATTGTGCTGCTGTCAATGACCTCTTTGCATCTAACATTTACATTTTCCATCAGCAACTCCTCAGCCTGACACTGTTCACTTTCATCTGTAACCCTCATTGTTGTCACAGGGGTTTTGGAGACCGTGAGGATGGTTTCTATTTCCTCATCTCTAGGTGGAGTTGATGCATTGTTTGAGATGCTTTGTAAGGAAAGTGTGTTGACGTTTTTGAGAAAAAGCAGGTGGGTTTGTGCACTTATCGTGAAGTTCTCCTGTAAAGCAACAATGTCATGTTCATGAAATACCTTTGTGCTTATTTCTGACATGTGAGCCTCTTCTATGCTTCGGAAAGGTAGTCTGATCAAAGTGCCCATGTAGGGTTCAGGAGAACTCTTGTCAGTGAAACTACAATCAAAAATCTGCTCATATGGTCCAAAGTAACCAGGAAAAAGGCGAAAGTGTCTCTTTTGAGAGAGATCCAGTTTGATTCCCGGATTTGTTTTGTGTCTGATGTGCTTCTTAAGGTGTGAAACATTTGGGTCAAGAATGAGAAGCTTGTTGCCACTGAGGATGGAGGGAACATCTGTTACGTGATACACTGTATTGAATCCCAGTCCAAACTTTCCAATCTTTTCCACTTTGTTTTCTTTTGAGGCAGAGCCAACTCTGACAACATTTTCCCAGTCCTCGGCCGAAAACTGCTCATTGTTAAATGCCCAGAGACATGGTCCCTGACAGAGGGCCATGCCTGGATCAATGAGACTTTCAGGGGGATTATTGTGTACTCTGTAATCCAGCAAGAATTTACATTCTTCTGCTCCAGCATCGTCAGCATTTTGGATTAGCTCTTTGAAGATGTCACTTTCTTCATCATACTCTTTAAGGATGTTTTTAATCCTGGTAGTTATGGGCTCAAACTGGCCACACTGTTCTATTCCCACTACTTCCGGGGCGAGGATGAAGTTACTGAGAAATTGTATTTTCAACCATTCAGCTGTTGCTATGGGGATTTCTTCATGCAAGATGTACATGCCCTCTTTACTGAACTGAAGTTCTTGAAGACTGCTTTCACTGACATCACAGAGGAGGGCTTCTGAATGTGGTTTAAGGGAGAATTGTTGCTCCTCTAGGATGACTGGCACTGGGATGTCATCCTCAACTTCCACCTTCTCTCTCCACAGCCAGTTCAGGATCTCTATTGACACTTTTACCTCAGCTGGACTTGCAAATGGCTGTTGCCTCGCTTCGACTTTTTCCTGGATAGAGCGAAGAATGTCAAAAATGTCCTCCCTTGAAAGTGATTTTCTCAGGCCAAATTTCTGGAGGAGCCTCTTGTATGGTAGATATTCTTTTGGTACCTTTTCAATGTAAGAACTCAGATCTAGATCGCGCGGGTACTCCAGAACCAGGTCTTGAGGTTTGACAAACTGGCTATGGGCCCATAGCCAACACGTTTCCTTGCTCAGCAATTCTTCAAAAGCAGAGATGTTGTCCTGCATGTGCCCATAAATGGCGTGCAGCTGCCTTTTGAAGCTAACATTTGTGTCTGGATCATCAGCTATTTCTTTTGCTTTTGATTTCACAACTGACAGGTTTTCAATCACTTTCTTGGGTGGGGGCAGGCATTGGAGACCGAGCATTTTGCTAACTTTATCAATGAGCTTCCCTGTCACAGGCATCACATGGCCAATAATGTTTTCATACATGGGGTGTCTGATTTCTTCTGGACAGTAGAAACAACATTTCTGAGATTGGTCACATAACTGTCTTTTTTCATCACCCGGTTGATCACCTGGGAGCCATTTCAACTTCTTCAGGCAATTAAGCTGCTCACGAGAAAACTTTGAAAGTAGATCATTCGCATTCAGGATGTCCAAGAAGACGTGAGATTTCTCCAAAGCCTTGGTGTGTGAGTCCACACTCAAGCAGTCAATGACTGTGGCGACACGTAACCAGTGCTCTGGTTTGATATCTGCTGCTTTTGTTATCAGTCCAAGATCTGTCAGACTTTCCAGCATCTGCTGTGTCTTAGTGAATGCAGGAGAGGGGAAGAAATTTGCCTCAAAGATGGTTCTGAATCTTTCTTTTCTTGGATCCAAAAAACTTGAAATATTTTTCAGTTCCCCATTTACCTCAATGAATCTCAAATTCCTGCATTTGCTTTTTAAGGAAGGGTTTTGAGAGAAAAGGATGTTACCATGCTGTAAAATCCAAGTCATGATTGTCTCAGTTTCCACATTGCTGCAATATTCTTTCTCAATGCAGCCAATGAGAAGCATGGCTGCCTCAGGTGGACCCAGGAGATCAACGCCCATCAGCTCCAACAGTCTGCGATCAGCCGCAGTAGCACACTGGATGACTGAATCAGGCACAGGCAGCTCGGAAGGCAGTCTTGGACTAGACATTAGAAGCACTGCCTGTTTTGATTTAGCTGCAACACATAATCCTTTCATGGTTTTAAACAGTGGCAACATCAAGAGTAAATCTTTCTCTCTGCTTGAGAGACTATTTAATTGAGAAAGATAGTCCTTCAGGCCCTCTTGTGCGCTTAGAGACTCAAATGTTAGGCTTCTGATAAGATGGTCAGAGTCTAGATTCTTTAAGACCTCCATGACGCTCCTGGGAGATGGACTTAGCACGTATTTGCTGAGGTCTTCATGTCTGAGCCACTCCTTTGAGCTCACCACTGTGCCACCAACTTTGGTCACAAGCTGAGCTATTTGGTCTGGCAAACGGCTCTGCTTACTGTCATGGAAAATGAGGGTTGTGTTTTGTTGAAGTTTAGCTAGTAAAGTTCGACTGACAGACAGGGGACCGACAGGGATGAGAGGAATTTCATTGAAACCACTTAACTGTTGGAAGTGATTATTGAGAAACCTCCAGAATGTCTGAAGCCAGTCTAAAGGTGGATGCTGACTGTTGCTGCTGTCCCATGTGACAAGCGCGGTCCCTGACTGCTTCCAATCCTGTGGCAGATATCTTCTTGTGTATTCGGCCACATCATCTTCTTCAATGTTGATGACTTTGAATAAATCTGAAACAAAAGATTAGAAAAATATGTACACATGCATGCATGTGTAAAGTGCAATGTGTGAAGACAAAATGACCTACTTTGTTTGGCCAGGTTCTCCAGGTGGGTTCTGCAGGTTTGACTGAGAGTTTCTGGGATGAAGAGGTGTTTACAGTATGGCAGTAAGACTCTGTAAAAAAAGAAGGAACATATTACAGTAGTTAGACATAATACACATAACAAAACAAAATCATCATCTTCAGAATCCATCTATGGGACCAAATGTACACCCAGACCAGTCCACTGGAAGTAAAACAATAGCAACTTTAGATTAATGATACAGGACAACGTTTTCCGCATCGGGGCTCCCAACTGAAAACATAAGCAGCAACATAAAAAACAGCAGTGGTCAACTAGTAGTCAATTTAAGTCACTTTAAAACTTTTCTTGAAAATTTTTGGACTCAGTGAGGGTGTGACATTAAACCCACATCAGTTCTTATTTGCCTAAAAAACGTTGCAACCATTTCTTGTCAGGAGGATATTTCCATTACAACATCTACAAATTGTTCACAATATTAATATTAACATTTTAATGTCTCTGAAACAAAGAGAGTTTGAATTATTGTATGCGGGACAACAGCATGTACTCGTGTTTTCACATAGTTTCAACAGTTATGAAAGATTTCATGTTCAGATAACAAACATAAACGAGAAATTAAAAACCCTACCTTGGGAATTCAGCGCTGTCAATTAAAGCTTTGTCCTCCTCCTTGTCTGTGAAAGATCTAAAGGAGCCGTCACTGAGTGGAAGAAGCTGAAGGCCCCTAAGTTCTCTGTATTTTCCATCACTCAATATGTACTCTAAAAGACACAGTTTGTCATCTGCAGGGATGTAATGCACACCAGTTCTGTGAATGACTTTTCTCAGGAAGGATGGAGTCACATAATTTGTGGTTGTGTGGTGAGTATAGCTCTCGATAGCCCTCAAAACACTTGCAGGAAAAGTCACAAGGTTTTCTCCACAGGACACCAAAGTCCTTTTAATGGCCGAGGATATGGTTGTGTTTGTTGGACCATTACAGGGTAGCACAGCCTTTGAGAGTGGGATGAACTGAGTTTCATCTTTGGCAAGAGAAAGGACAGCCAGGTCGTATCTGAATAGGTGATCAAAAAGATCCAGAGCAACAGTACGCCATTTTTCTTTGTGCTGCATCTGGGCGATATCAGGCCACAGACTGTACACAGAGGAGACCGACAGGCTGGATTGTTGGGAAAGTTTAATGGCATCTTGAAGGATTTTCAGGTATGCTTGTGGAAGCATCTTTTTTACCAGCAGTTCATTCCACAAAGCATGTTCGTCATGTTTCTGGTCCTCCTCTTGCCACTTGATATGTCTTCGGTTGTCCGTGAGCCCAAAGCAGGCATTGACGTGAACAGGGAGGCCTGTCTTGTTGGGCTCATTGTTTGGGAGGGGGAGGAAGCAGCTGAGTCTACCCTCACAAGCGTCTTTCTCCTCACCACAGGGGAATGCCAAGTCAACTCGAGGCAAAAAGCTCAACTTTTTTGCAAGGACATCAAGGTCTTTGTCTTTGCCCTCTTTCATGGTACAAGTTGTCACAAGCCAACGCCTGCCACATTCTTGAGTCTCTTTGGGGTCTCCTGAACTGAGGGTTATCTCTTTGAATCTTGAGAAACCCTCAATGGCTGACTCCTGTCCTGCCATAGAAACAACCTCGCCTGCAGCAGAAGATTTCACCTTCAGCCTGGTGTCGACAGAGCCATCAGTGTGGACATGTATCAAGGAGACAGAGTTAACGTTTTTCAAGAAGAGGAGGCTCAAGTCTGAGTCTGCAGCGAAGCTGTCAAAAAGCTCAACGACCTTGTTAGAATCATACAGATTATCTGAAATTTCAGATGCTTTGTTGCGCAAAGGGAATCTGAAGACTGTCCCATCAAAATGCTTATCCTCTTTGACCACTTTTGACCATCCTTGTTTGCCTACAAGCGAAACTATATCTCGAAATGGTTGAAACTGATCATACATTGTCATCAAGGCTTCTTGGTGTTCGGGATTATCAAAAGACCACAGAAATCCTCCATTTCTTTCACCAAATATGTTTTCTTGTGGGTCCATCCACCCAAGGTGTCCAGAACTGAATATACTGGGCACATCTGTGTGTAAAATAAAGCAGATGTGGACCCATTAGTTACCCTATCCATGATGTCTACCATGATACTTTTTAAATCTCAGTTTCTTTGCAATATATTGTATTCCTATAACAAAGACACAAAGTTTCACCTGTTATGTGGTAAACCGAGTTGAAACCAATTCCAAACCTCCCGATTTTGTTGGGGTCATTCAGCTTGCCACTTCTTCCTGCCTTCTGAATTCTTTCCCAGTCATCATCAGAAAATGCTGCATTGTTGTAGGCATAGAGAGCAGGACCTTTGAGAAAAGATTTTAGAGGTGTTGTCATATATCATGAATAATCAGAATCTGCTAGTATGAGCAATTTGTCTCACAATGGTTCGATGTAAATTGAACAAAATGGATTCTTTATGCAATGATATAAGAATATTTGGGTCACTTGTATATTTTCTATGTGCTAATTTATTTATTTTTTATTCTCTGATGATCCCATAAGTACCTTGGTATTTTCCCAGTTCGTCAGTCCAAAGACTCTCACACCCATAGCATCTCTCATCATGGATGAAAACCACGTCTGTGGCTTGAGCATCGTCTGCATTTTGAATCAGTTCCTGTCAACAGATAAAATTAAATGGAAAATAATGTAAATGAACAATCTTTTTTAATGTCGTCCAAGCAGGTTTTCGTCTGAGCTCAGATGAATATAATCTAATCAGGAAACAACCATTGTCAAATTTTTAATGATTGTTTTTCCTCAGTTACTTGAAGCATATATTGTGTAAGGTACCTGCTCTTGGCAGGAAAGGCCTTGTGTCCTGTTCCTCATTGCAAAAGAGCAGACAAAGCCTCTTCCTGAACATATTAATGAACATAGCCATGGTTCTGCACACACTGTTTTGTAATCTGATCCTGAATATGTAAAACCAATAAAGAGTCCTGATTTGCCCTTGCCTACTAAAGCAAACCATACCTTTAACCATTGCAACCGAATGCCTAACACTAACTTTTACTTTAAACTTAACCATAACATGATTCTTTCCCCATTACTAAGTCTCTCAGAAAATTGTTTTTTAACCTATAGGAACAAGACTGTTTCCCTACATTTACTAACTGTCCTTAAAAGTTGGTGTGTACAGTCAGAGTTCTGTTCCCGACATGATGATAAAACATGCACACTGTCAAAAAGGTGGATTTTGGAGGGAGGACTCAGTCGCGGAGAGGGTTAAAAAGGTTTATTTTTAACAAAAACGCACTCAAAAGAGTGGATGACAGGACAAGGTTCCAAAACAAGGCTGTGGCAAAAACTATGATCAAAGTATCAAGGAAAGAGTAAACAAGGCTATGGCAAGATTAACAAAACTGTGGTAAAACATGGCTATGACAAAAATGTGGCTACGGTACAAAACAAGACTATGGCAATAAAGTAAACACGGCTGTGACAAAATCAAACCTGACGTGGGATAACAAAAACGGACAGACGAAAAGTGACAAAGACGCACTGGCACAGGACATGGGAAACGAGGACTATTTAAACACATAAGGGAGGGGAACCCCAGGTGAACACAATAGGTAATCAACACATGACGAGACACCAGACATTCCCCCAGACGTGACACACACACGCACATGCACACACAGACAAATCAATGGAAAGTGTGACATTCAAGGCCATGTTTGATCCCTGAGGGAAAAATACTTGCGGCGTTGTTACAGTCAGAATTTGTGTTTTATACAGACCTTCAAAATTTGCCCACCATCTGGATATCGACGCAAAATATCTTTCAGGTAGTCGAGGAATGGAGGTGCAGTGGCCCCAAAGCTTGTCCTGAACAATGCAGCAGAAGAAAAAAAGAGAGACTCACTATAAGTTAGTCTTACCAATAAATTAAAAACCACACCCTCTATGTCAGCACACATCAGCCAGCAGCTCCCATTCTTTAAGAGAAAACCGGAATAATCTCTCAGACAGGGCGTTGTTTTAAAAAACAGTTAAAATACACTGTTCTTGTTTGGAAAAGGTGTTCAGAGGATTAAAGGGTCATAGTGACAAATGCTGAGATACTGTTATACTTAGCAGCACAAAACTGACCGACCAAACTTTGCTGCCAACATATTTTTATCTTTGCACACAAACAACTTCACTATTACTGTTCTAAAATGTGTTTTCTGAGTTTTTGTTTGAGGTAAAATAGTCATAGTCTTTATCGCCAGAAAATGTTTCTTTCTTCAAAAGGGGTGACAGAAAAAAGTCTGTGAACCCCTGCTATAAGGAAGTATTACTTAAGCAATGATAACAGGAAGAATCAGGATTGTCATGAAATAGCCAAAAACATGAAGCAACATGTTACGACAGATGTAAATTTATTTTTTTCACTTAGGTCTTTAAACTTCTGTCAGTACATTTAAACTAAGGAGCTTTAGTACCAAAATGCTTATACTTTTCAGCTTGGAAGAACAACTCATGATTTGCTTTAGCAAAAACACTGAGCAGCTGTTTCCTTGTTGCTCTCTGAAAAGGAAGCCTGCAGTATTTTGCATGTTGTTTGTTGATACCAGACATTTTGTTTCCTGGATTATATAAACGGCTCATCTTTGTCTCATATCTAAGTGGTTTTAATACATATACCTGCAAAATAAAAAGACAAGATTGTGGGAGATCGTTTCAGCTTTGATTTGTTTAACTGGGTGACGCATGAGCAGAAATAAAATGAAAACAGGCTCAAGTTGCACCTGACAGCCAGAACAGAGACGCGGGAGAAGAGTGCAGTCATTGCATTTTTATCAAACTGTCAGAAGTAAAGATCTGTCTAATATGCTTTGTAGCCATGAATTTGTGGCATAATTTCTAAAGATGCTTACTTCACTCAACGTTTCTGCCCTCTAAATGGCAAAGCAACTCACCGGGCTGACTTCCTCTTCTTCTGACTCATCATTTCTTGACTGGTTACTGAAAGAGAGTCAGAGTATCATGACGATATACTGTAAACACTTACAATGAATACGAAAAAGATTTCAAGAATTTCCTGAAAATAACTGAATTTGGACCAACGAAGAAAGTAGAGAGAACTTTTTCATATTAATATGCGTGTCAGTTCCTCCTGAGTGACCTCTCGAACTCAACTAAAGTGTCATTCAAAGGGAATAATCAATAACAGTGAAATGGCAGCTTATCAGACTGTATCAGTAATCTATTTTTAAAACTTTGGTACCTTAATTACTGGCAGTAGTTGCTGAGGATTGTGGGAGAAGAAATAAATTAAAGTTTAAGAGAGGTCCTGCTGATCATAAACATTTTTATACAGTATGTATACACATATGTCTACACTGCTGATGGCTGTGGGCGACAAACTCAGAGTCCACTCAGTGTCCTTTTCTAGTGCGTGGTTGTCATGTGGGGTGGTTCGTGGAGGGAAGACTCAGGTGCGGAGATGACGGAAACAAGGTTTATTGCAACAAAAAGTGGAAGTCCAGATAAAGTACAAAGCAAAGCTGTGGAAAACTGTGATCAAAGTATCAAAGCAAAGTAACAAAATAACAATTAACAAAACTGTGACTATGGCAAAGTAAAAGACTATGGCAAAACAAACCTGGCGTGGGGGTGACGAAAGACGAAACAAGACGGACGAAACGGACAAGACGGACTAAAACGCACTCGCACAAGACAAGGGGAAACGAGGACTATTTAAACACATGAGGGAGGGGAACCCCAGGTGTACACAATAGGTAATCAAGACGAGACATCAGACGTGACAGAGGTCATGTCAGAGGAAACCTGAAAGCTCTATTTGTAGCAGTAAATTTAAAAACATAATTTTAGAGAGTATTAATACTTTCTGGTTACACCTCAGTCACACTAAAAGTGGGACAAATCCAACGAGTTGGAGATATAAATTGAACTTATTCGGAAATTAAATGTAAAAACTTAACGTGGGGGTTACATTACCCACTTTTGTGTCATTCATATTCTCAGGTTTCGTACAGTTTCACAAAAAAATGACATAATTATTCATTATTCTCATAATAAAGACGGAAATAAGTCACAGTACCTCAGCCATGTCAGACCTGGTCGCATCAGCTCTGCTCCTCCGTGTGATGTCGCATCAGTCTGCTATTTATAAGGGCTGGTGATGTCCAGCCCAAATATGTGTTTCATTTCACACCCAAATTTCAGTCTCATCTCCTCAGAATCGAAACTAAGAAGCAACAGCAGCCAATCAGAGATTCGATTCTTCAAAGCCTGCTCGGGGAAACGAAACTTTCTAAGCAAGTTCCCGACGGGGTCACGGTGATTCAACAATATGCTTATTGTACTTTTTCTTTGCCCAGGTTTCTCAGTTTTGAACAACTGTCAACTTTGTAAGACGCTTTGGAAAAAAGCGTCTGCTTAATGCATGACATAACCGTAATTCTGCCTCTTTCGTGTGATTGGTGGCAGTTGAGCCGCCGCTCGCTAGATGGCGCTGCAGGCCGGGGTGAGCCCAGAAACAGCGCTGCTTCATCCAGGAAGACTCAGCTGACCAAGAACAAGCCCGCAACCTCCCATTGTTATTTCATGCCGCAGTTGTTTGATGTTGTTTGATGTTTTCAATAAGTCAATACACGCCAAATGTCTTACGAGGGATGAGAGCGGTACGTACAGTCTTCGATATGTTGGTCCTAGTCGCTTCCTTATTTTCTGCGCATTTTTTAGGGCGAAGCAGGGCCTCTGTTTGGGATAAATAGCTGCTAGGTAAATTGTTGTTCCTCGTTTTCAGGTGATGGTCAACGTGCTTGGTTCGCATACAGGGTAATTGCATAGTTTGGTCGTGACTGACTCATCGTGTTCTAGAAACCTGTGCAGATATAGGAGGCGCGTGGCTGATGGGGTTGAAAACGGCATGTGTGTGCCAGCTAAAAGCTGGGTCCTACTAAAGCTTTGTGTGCATTTGCTTTTCCCCCGCAGATAATCTGTAAAACAATCAAATCCCCTCCCCGCCTGATGTGGTGGTAAATGGCAGCATGCTGGATAAAGCCGGTGACAAAGAGCAGCAATCTGGGCTCTGCTCGGACTGCGGATGCAGATTCAGCCCCGGCCCCGACTCCCCCAACACCTCGGCTGCTCCTGCACAAGAGGAGGCCGGCAACACAGAAAGTCGCACCAAATGTCCGTCCTGCCAGGCAGGTGGCAGCCGCAGCAGCCCCCCAAATGGTCGGCGGCCCCACCGGCGCATCCGCCTGGACCCTCACAGCTGCGGCCTGTGCTCCAAAACCTTCATCTCCTACGCCCACCTGAACCTTCACCTGGCCTCCCACAACAAGGAGAGGAAGTTTAAATGCGGCATCTGCGGCAAGTACTTCCATCAGTCCTCCCACCTGATGGCTCACAAGATAATCCACAGCGGGGACAGGCCGTTCAAGTGCCCCGAGTGTGGAAAGACCTTCGGACGGGCGTCGCATCTGAAGACTCACCGTCGGCTCCACACAGGCGAGAAGCCTTTCAAGTGCACCTACTGTGACAAGTCCTTCACCCAGAAGGCCGGACTCCTGGCACACGTCCGCCTGCACACCGGGGAGAGGCCGTACAAGTGTGAGCAGTGTGGTAAGGGCTTTCGATCCCTGCCGCTCCTGCTCTCCCACAAGGCTCAGGAGGAGTCCGGGCAGGCGGCTCCGGCCGCAGCGCCGCTGGACCCGCCGCAGGGCGCGCAGAGCAGCCCGGAGGACCTGAAGTGCGGCGTCTGCTGCCGCACATTCGTGCGCTCCTCGTACATCAGGCTGCACATCCGCCTGAAGAAGGGACAGAGACCCTATCACTGCAAAGTGTGCAACAAGACCTTTGTCAAGCTGGACACGTTTGTGAACCACTGCGACAAACACTTGAGGCAGAAAAAGGAGAAAAACAAGGAGGTCAAAGACAGAGTTGTGAAACCTCCCTTGTTTGTTCCACTCTCCAAGTCTCCATCTCCAGAGTCCGCTCCGTCTTTATCCTCAGAGGTCAACACACGCTCTAGAATGAAAGCAAAGGCTAAGACTGAGTCCTAACACGGATGGAGACCTGTCTCATATTTTCTAGCAGCTCTGCAGCAGCAGATCATAACAGCACACACATGTAAAACGGTATTATTTATTAATTCAGATGTTCACCAATTAGGGTGGTTCAGAGGGAGAGACAAACAAGTATGAAACAAAAACCTAACATATGTTCATTTCACTTAAACCAATGTGGGTTTTGCTAATTGTACATTGATGTTATTTAAATATCATTGTCACCATTATCTCTGTAAGCATGACAGTGTTGTGGTTTTAAAACCTCTTTTATTGAATAATGATGGTGTTAGTCCTTAAAAAGACCTGCAGTGCCAAATCAAGATGAAATGCGTGCAGAGCTGCGGTGTGCAGAACTCTTTTCTCTTGACATGCATCTCAGTGTACCACCTTAAATGAATATTTCAGCACATTAAGCTAATCAGGATTTCAGGGCCATATATTTTTGTCCACTTTGATTTCTTTAGAAAAAAAATGGAACCAGTTTTTTTTTTTTTAAATCCATATGAACCCATGTAAATGAATGCGTATTGTACGACCATTGTAAACAAAACATGAATACTAAATATAGCATCACATTTCTTTCTGTTTCGCCTCAATTAAACTTCAGACGTGTGAAACGACCTTGTGTTGCTGACCAACTTGGGAAAAATAACCCTGTTTTCCTGCTGACCATATTCAGTGTGCCGCAGTCATCCTGAGTGATGTGGTTTGTTTGTACAAACAAGTCCGATCACTAGGACCTGTGGCCTAAATTGTGCTGTCACCACACAGTTCATTGTTAGCTTTGAGTTAACTGGAGAACAGCTCAGCAGCTGGGGAGTGACTGTGTCAGTCCGGTTCTCTGTCTGTCACCTCCACATGGGGAAACTTTTTCTCCCAACCTAGAGATTAAAAAGAGTAGGTGAGCACCTCTAAAGTGATTCAGCACAGTGTTATGAGTATTGGTGTATAAAGATGTTTACCCTGCAGTTTTCTGTATCTTCTGTAAAGCTGTGGATGTTCCAGTTCAGGGTCACAGTCATGTGGCGTCTCCAGGTGGGGTTTCTACACAGGACAACAGTTCCACTGATGGAGTCTCCATCGTTTACACTGACCGGTCTGTCCAGCATGAACAGAGTCTGCTTCCAATGCGTTGGCCTGATGAGAAAGCGTTCTTTTACCACTATTTTTCAACGCACAATTGAAAAAGGTGGAAGATTTATTTACGTTCATTACTCTTTGTTTGGTCCGGTGTTCAGCTCCACTGTTGCCCCTCCGCTGTCCAGGCTCTCAAAATGAACAGTGAACCAGGCGGTGAATCCATGGAAAACTCCAGACTTTTCCACACAAAAATGAAACTCGCCCTTCATTTCCTGAGAAATGAAACAATGGTTCTATCACTGGCAGGGCCACTTGGTGGAGCTGCAGCAAAAATCCCGGACAAACCCTGCATATTACCTCCAGGTCTCCCACTTGCAGAGTGTACATGTCCAGACAGATGACGTCACAGGGAGCAGAGAGGCAGTCCTCTGGTTCTACGAGGTGACTGAACTTTGGCTTAGTAAAAAACTCCTGCTGGGCCAAAGCCCTGCAGAGATGAAACATAATTTAAAACTGGTGTAGAAGTCATACACGTACTAACTACCATAATTTCGGCACAATTGCATAATTATGCCATAATTGCATAATTACATTTCTCAAGTGTGGGTGACAGTAGATTTGATGTCAGTGTCCTTCAGGAATTAAAGAAAATAATAAACCAGTGGATGCGTTCTGACACTTTAGTGGTTGGATGAAGAATCTCATTAGTAAAACTTTTCCATGGCCTGAAACATACTTCCAAATACCAAGGGTCCAGATTCTTACTGAAGCGGGGTGAAGTCCAGCCCGTAAGGCCTCTCCCAGAAGGCCATTTTCTCTGCGTAATAGCTGTCGGCCTGACACGGAACCAGTGTGAGGGCTGCATTGGACGGCCACATCACACCACCGTCTCTGAGCCAGCGGTCTCTGGCCACCAGGACCGACTCCACCATGAACTCAAACTAAACCAAAACACAGACACGATGTGACGGTGAAAATTATAGAAAAGTGGACGGGTGTGACGGCATGAAATCAAGAATGCAAAGCTCTTGTAAACACTCAGCCAGACAGTCGTTTTCAGTGGCAGCAGCATTGCACTCACCAGCAGGCAGTTACCCATCCACTCGGACACCAGGACGTCCACCTGCTCGGGCAGCTCCAGCTCCTCAGCTCGACCCCGGAGCACTGTCACCACCTCCTCACAGCCATTCTGCTTCACCAGCTGCCTGGTGTGGTCCGCCATGGAGCTCGCTTCCACTGCATACACCTACAACAATACAGGTTAACTTGCACATACCGTGCATTGACATCACTGATAGGTTATCAGATCCACATACAGTTTAAGACGGCTCGAAGAACTAATGCCATGAATGCTAGCCACGAGTTTGCATCATTGACACTTGCTGTTATTTAACATGGTTGTTCATTGATGAACAATCTTGGCATAAAGGGCTGACATTGGACGATTTGCACGTTTTCTTTTTCTCACCATTGAAGGCTTTGCCAGCTGGGCACAGAACAGGCTGATGATGCCGGTCCCACATCCGAGGTCCATCACCACCTTGTTCCTGAGGGCAGGGCTGTTGCTGAGAATGACCTGCCGGTACGTTTCAGTGCGGCTCCTGTCCGACAGCATCTCCAGGTGAAGCCTCTGTATCACGAGACACAGTTACATCCATACAAAAAACTTAAACATATTGACGGAGTGAATCAATGTCAAGATGGAGCAGGCAACCTTATGTGTGTTTTTACTCCCTAGTTTTATTCCTAATAATTATACAATACAATACAGTAAACATATCCATGGATCTGACCAAGTCATACAATCCATTTTAATACATTCTAGGTAGCGAATAGACTTGTAACATAGTCCTTTTAATTTAGTCATGTCCTTCATCTACATTAAATCAAAATGTACAATCGTGGATTTCTTTGTATTTTCAGAGGCATTTTCTTTTACAAACAGCACGCTTCCATTTTGCTGTTTGGTGCTTCTCATCTTCATATCACTTGTAATATTTAAAACAACTTTTTTCCCCCTATTAATCCATCTATTGTTAGTTAATTCTATAACATACAGATAAGTCAATGTTCATTTTTAGCTCCGTTTGAGCCCCCTTTACGTCTGTTCTGCATATGATGAAGTCACAACACTGTCGTATTCAGGTATGAGGTTAGGCTGTGTGGTGTCTAGTGTCTACATTTAAGTCTTGAAAATAACAAACACATAACGGTTGTAGGTTTGTCTGACCAGAGTCCCATAACTGCCAAAGTATTCTTCGTCCTGCCACGGGTCCTCCAACGATATATCCTCCTCTTCCTCGGCAGCTTCGCGGCGCAGGTAGCTGGCAGGAACGTACCCTACGACCCCCCGCAGCTCAGCCCACCACCACTCCGAGCAGGGCTTGGCGTGGACGAGCAGTCTGTCCCCTACGGTCAAACTAAGCTGCGGGACAGAGTTGTACAGCCAGTGTTAATATCAATTCCGCCTTCCTGCCTCTTTTGGCTCAAATTGTTCCCGTATTAGCCTGCCAGGGACCCCGAACGGCTCTCTGACCTGCTCAGAGCCATTTCCAGTGAAGTCAGACGAAGCAACATACTCTTCAGGGGACATATCATCTTCGTCCTCTTTCTCTGTTTGCATATTTGTCGGAAGTCGTTTTGCTGCACAGATACTTTATTTTTTCTCTTTCAGAAGTACCTCATTCGTAAATATGGAAACAGTGTATACTACTAAAGAGAAAAAAAAGAGCAAAATTCAAAAGACCCAGCTACATGTGTCGTAAACACTTCCTCTTTTGACGGTAGTTTGGGTGCCTTTGCGATTGTCGGAATTTTCGAAATTAAATTGCATCCGGCGGTCTGAGCAACTAACGGCTTTGATTTTGTGTGCACGGAGCACTGTAGACAGTGATGGGAAATTCAGTGCGTCTTAGTTTCATGCATGTTCTTTGTAATATTTGCTCTTTTCCCACTGTGCTAAGAAATAGTAAACATATAATTATACCTACTTTGTATGTCCTCGTTCTTTTATAATGAGCAGTTTAACTATCGAGATCTATTCAATACCACAACAGCATCATTTGTTCTTGGTGGACTGAGATGGACCAACATTTAAATACAAAATGCATAGGTTACATTGACATTCAACCACCACTTTAACACCAATTTAACAATCAAATACTTGCAAGAATGCATTTTACAGTTAAAAACAATCTTTATTATTTCAGGCACAAACCCAGTGAAAAAATTATTTTATTCCAAAGACACATTGTAGGTCAGTTAAAAAAACAAACTACAAACTAATTCTCTGTAACAGCCACATTTTACACATTTTCTTGCTTTTCATAACCAACTCTAAAGAACTCTCTCAAGAACCACATCCCATTTTCTTGATAAGGTGTCTCAGCTGTCTTTTGTCTTTGCCTTGAGAAAAGGCTTGTGGAGGACGTCGTAGAGTCGTCTCGCCTGTGAGCACAAAAGGGTTAGCTGGCAAATAATCAACAAATAACACTTCAATACCCAACTTGCTTAATTTCTTTAACCTTTTGTGGTCCGAGGCCTGGGCAGAGTACCAAGTCTTCCACAGAGGCACTGATGATTCCCTCGATGGACTGTAAATACATTTTTTAAAAAGTGTCTTCTGTGAACAATTTATTGGCGTGATCATTGAAAAGTTTGGTTAAAATTCACATAAGACTGTAGCTAATGGAATTAAAAAAAATATTAAAATATTCAGGAGCATACCAATATCTCTTTTAAGACATGAGCCTTACTGAATTTCTTAGGCTAAAGTGATACATAATGAATAACTGGATTCATGAACCCTCAATTTTGTCAGCAGTACTCACCGAGAAAGTGGACAATAAGGTAATGGCGTCCGTTTTGTTTACAGACTTCACAGTGGTCAGGCAATCTGTCACCTTTAAGCAAGCAAAAGAAATGAAGAGGGGTTTAAGCTGCTTTTCTGGTATCTTAAATCAGATACTTTCCATGGCATTTACTTCTGTCAACATAACATCTCAAATCTGAAAAATAGTTATACAAAACGCTTTTTACATCAAACTGTTGAATCCACCCACCTTTGAGAGGTAATTTTTCTCAACTTGCTCCTTCAGGAGGTCAGCGGGTTTCTTTTCATATGATTTATACGTTTCCAGGTAACGTCCTGCTTCTTCTGGACTAAAAAGTCAGCATGAAAAACCAAAACAGAAGAGAAGAAAACAAGGCTACATCTGGCTCAAAGAAAACCAGAAAAGTCTTAATTTGGTCTTCTAGGAACACAAGTTGAGGCTTATAGGACCAGGACCCAAAGTCAGAATTTTTGTTTTAATTTACCTCCAAGCCAAAATGAGGGTGCAATCAGCCATTATACAAATACGAGCCAGCTCCTTTAACACGTGATGAGGATCTTTCTGTGGGTGAGCATAACAATTACAAAATAGAAATAAAAAATAAAAAACACAAACAACATTAAAAACTTTAAAAATGAAAATGTATTCAAATGGAAAAAGCTTGTGTTCTGTGCTTACCACATCCACTTGAACGAGCAGCACACGTAGGGTGAATGTGTTGCCAAGCTGCTTCAAACGATCATGGATATAGTTTGGGTTCAGGTTGTGGTACCTCAGACTTCAAACGGGTCCAAAAACCAAGACAGCAAGTAAGCCGAACATGAAAGAAAATGACCGAAATGTATGCTTATAATTATTATTTTTTAATCGATAAACTGCCGGAAACCTACCTGAGAAAGAGCGCACAGGTTGTCTGACCCAAGACGTAGTCTGGTACAACATCACCAAACTCCCACGGCACGCTTCTCACAAACTTCAGGATAGGATTTCCCCTCTGAACCAGCAAAATAAAAAACAAATAAATATGCATGCCGAGAACTGTTAATTTCAGACAAGTGAAGAAGGAAAGGTAAATAAGATGATGAGTCCCTGTGAACTGTGTACAGCAACAAACAAGTGGACATAATAATGGTGATGCTTGAATAGGGTTTATTTTTGTGTTAAAGACCTAAAACCTTTATATGTCTATTTTCATACCTGTCGTGGACTGACAATAATGCTGCTCCCGGACCCCACAGGCTTAGGACCCAGGCTAAGACTCGGATCTGACTTTTGACAGCTCTCCTCACTTATTTTAACCTCCTGAGGTCGAGCTTCAGGCCCTTTAACACTGTCTGGAGCTGCTTCACATCTTCCAGCTGAAGTGGACTCTTGTTCCTCTGGTCTTAGACTGGTGACACCAGCACCATCAGTCCTGAGCAGTTTGGAGGGGGCATCCTTCTGTGGGACAGGTGCCACATTTCTCTTACTGTGCACAATGTACTCTGCGTAGGAGAGAGGCTGGTCAGATGGCTTGGGAGCCGAAGTGTTTAGTTGTTCTTGAGATGTGGACTGAAACTGAGGCTTTGGCTGAAACATAGTTTAAAAAAAAAAGGTTTTAACATTAACTTCACGTAAAACTTCACGAGTATTCAACTGAAACCACTAGTATCAAGTTAGTCCGATTTAAACGGCGAGTTGCTAAATAACCCAACAAGGGAAATTCAAAATTAACTTTGTTTTTAACGCTGAAAAGGTTTTCAGTTAGCCCAGAAGCTAAATAGCTGCTAGCTCAATAAAAAGAACATACCGGTGTTCTTTCTTTGGTGAAAACAGAATCCTCCAGATTGATGTGAAATCTCTTTTTCATGTCTTTAAATTGATTAAAAAAAATCAACGTTTCAGGTAATCACATGCTCCTAAGAAGCATGTTTATATTTGCACAAAACACAACTGCACGGAGCGGACAGATTAAGTGGAACACTTCCGGGACAATCCCATCACAATAAAGAGCACAATGTGACAGTTTTTTTTGTTGCTTACTTTGTATTGAAAGTCTCCTTATCCTGGACTTACATTTAATAGAAAAAAAACTAATATAACCATAAAAAATATGTTCATTTAAAAAATATTGGCAAACAATCCTTTGCAGAAGGTTATCTCAAGCCGGTTATTTGAACAAAAACAAATAATGTTTTTCTGTGTGAAGCAGATTCTTCTAGTTTAGCTCATTTTCCTCTCTGTCTGTTGATGTTTTGAGTTCACCATTGTGTTGTGAACACAGCTACTGCAGCATATTCCCCTCCAATCTAATGGGTTCCTGTCATCCATATATATTTAACAGTCTAGTCCAATGAACTTTGCTCCATTTGGCAGAATCTATTTAGAGTGTCTGTCCGCAATGTTTCAGATACATCAACTGGCCTCTGTCACCACATTGCATTCTTATGTATTAGAGGTAACATAGAGCTTAAGTCCTTTCCATTTCGTTTTCAACTATTCATTCACTGAATTTTAATGTTTTAGTCTGAAAGTGTAGTCTGGTATTCAAATAAAAAACACATGCAGAAACGTACTGCACAATAGAGATCGAGTGTAGTGAAATAATGAATGAGTCAAATTAATTAATTTAGAAGACTGAGGAAAACTAAGGGGACCCTCACAATAGGAATTTTAAGAACTTGGTTTATTTTTTAACCGAATATGAAAACTAACCCAAATAGGAGTAAAATATGCTTAATGTTACAAAGTTTTATGAGGTTCCGTTTAGATCAGGTTTCTACAAAGAAACCTAAGTTGCCAAGGAAACAGTGACGCCGCCATTCAAACCGCGCGGCATGGCATGCTGGGATACCTTTCTCCATCATGGCGGATCAGAGAGTGGGCTAACGACAACGGTTAGCATATTCAACGTTTGCTTGGTTTCGCGCAATTCCGCGTCGCAGCCATTTGGCGTTTTCTCTTCAGGATCCCAACCGCCCTACAAACACTGGGTAAGTATGCGTTACAGTTTAAATGGATGTGATTTACCACTGTATATATTAAGCAGGTATGAGTCGCAGCTAAATGATTTAGCAAAGTATCCTGCCAGTTGAGTACGAGCTGACTCGCGGTTATGTCCAAGTGGCTGGTGAATCGCCGTATAGGCCACAGCAGTCCGTTTGGCTCTCACAGAGAGTGTGTGGTAAAATGTGTTCATTCTTAATGGGACAGTGGAATATTTGTGCATATTCGTAATTGTTCAAATAAGCCGTATCTAGCTAAGTTACACGACTGGTATATGTGTTTGATCATTGGTCTTAGTAAAGCAGGCCTGGTCAGCGTTATCTAACATGTTTACGATTTGACGTTGTATTGCTTTTTCATTTGGGTTTGTTTTAAATGTTGCCTCTTATTGACATGTGCGCGTCTTTAACACGGTGTAGCTTTAAATTACACTATTGCTCGCTTGAATACAAGCTAAGACAGCCAGCCTTGCGCATTTGATATTTAAAGCATGTTGGGAAACGTACCTCGCCGACATTAGCTTTAGCATTAAATGCATTGTCTACAGCCCCAGGACTGTGTTGTATTTTTTTACTTTCTTTTTTTCTTTATAGCCTAGTTACATTTGGATGATTTTTTACGGAATGGTGTAGATTGTTCTCGCATTGAAAACGTGCACGCGAACAGAGGAAGTGTGTGAATTGTTGCTAGTGTTTTTGAACTGCAGCGGTCCTCACGTTTCTGTGTGTTATAATTCAACTTTACTGTGGTGTAGAACGACTGCTTTCTTCATTCAAATTTCTTGTACAGTACGTAAAATTAAAAGAAGACCATGGCTCTAAATAAATAGTTTTAAAAAATCTTGGTGACTTCATGCCTGACATTGAAATTACCGATAGGTTGTCAGATCCAGACACAGTTCAAGACCGCTTGAATGCTATGAATGCTAGCCACGTGTTTGCAGTGACATTTATTTTGTGTGTGCGGCTAACAATGCTACCTTTAGTTTATAATGTCAGAAAGAATATTGTACTTTATACCCGGCCCCCCTTAAAAAAAACTTATTTGAAATGTTCATATTTTGTGCTGCTAGACCCTTGTAATAATTTATAAGTCATCCAATATGTTATAACAACAAATGTTATTAACTTCATGTGTCATTGGATTACCAAACATATGGAATATGTTTTATAATCTTTTAAAACACTGTGCACAGCAAGGCCAAAATATAAAAGTGGCATTTAACCAACACGTTCTTCTTTCCTGAAGAACTCAACAATCTAATTTCCCTTTAACCACAAAGGCTATTTAGTTGTGATTGTAGTAATTTGAATAATAATACTGTAAGCTCTCTACTGACATTAGTAGTTGTTCAATAGTTACTTGTTTATGAATGGACAGTGAACATGATCAAATATACAGCCAAACCAGTACAGAATTGGCTCATAAGTGTACAACGTTTGCTCCAGGATTGAAACATTTCTGTATTTACTTTCTGCTCACTGGATCAGCCGTAATTCGGATTTGTTTATTTTTTTGTGTCTTTGTTTGAGTCATCTTACTTTTTAAACATATACAAATAAATCAGCGATCAGCAATGTAATGCTAATTACAATTTTGGTTTCGGACTGAAATTATGTCTTCTAGTGTGTTACCCAATGTTTTGGAGGTTTATAGGGCTTGCTCTGGGTCATATAATTCCCATAGCGTGAAATTTTAGCATGAAAGTCTTGTAAGTTTGTTCTCATGACAGGCAACACTTGAGTGAAAACGGGACTTGTTGAATGTGAAATGCTCAATCAAGCCATGTGTTTACCTATTTTAAAAGATATGTTACTTTACATTTGTTTTTCTCCTCAGCTTTGATTTAGGTCGAAGAACACCGGTGACATTGTGACAGGTCTTACAACATTGCAGTACCATCATAATGGAAAGTGAAGTAGGCATACCTTCAGGTCAGTAATACACGGGTCATAAAAAATCTGATTTCCTCATGATAGTTTATTTTACTGCTACGTTCTACATGGTTTGAAGGTTTTTTTTAATTTATTTTATTTTTCATCTAACTGCTACATCTCACTGGGTAGCCCAGAATTCTTGTAATTTAAATTGGGGAAGTCCCACTCAAATTACGGCTTTTTTATGGCTACAGTGTGTCAAAGTCCATAGTTTGAACTGGCTTAGCAGTCTGTGCGTTTTCAGCACAAAATCTTAATAATTTGCTCTTGGTTTTGCAGTTGGGTTGGGAAAGGCTCTCAAATTAGATATACTGTTTCCCTGTGCAGGTGAGGATGAAGCACTGGAGAAGGATGATATGAATGCCAAGGAAGGATTTGATCCACCACACAAAAAAAACAAGAAACACAGGAAACACAAGAGCAAGAAAAAGAAGAGGAGGAAGAAAGGCGAGAAGGAAAGCAGTTCAGAATCAGGTGCCGAGTCAGATGGGGAACCCCCACCCCCACCAAGACCTGTCAGGACCACTAGAGCCAGGTCTGGAAAACTAAACATTTAATCAGTCTTATTAAAAATATGGAAACTAAAGCCAATTTTGCATTGCCAAGCTTTCAATTACTACGGTTTTACTGAATTCAGTATAACTTTGTCACTTACCAAGGTTTTCAATATTGATTATGATTTCTAGAATTACTTTAAAAAACCTGACAAAAGAAGACCTACAAATCAATCTCAATGCTGTCAGTTTCAGCCGTTTGCTGTCAAAATCTATATACATTTTTTTGAAGATAATTAGTTTTGCTGCACTAACCAAACATTACTGTTTCGGGAAAAAAAACTTTTCTTTTCCCACTTTTTCTTTAGTGCCAGACTAGCAGCAGCTGCTGTTGGAGCTGGAGAACAAGCTGAGCTAAAAGATGATGGCAAAAAGGATGTAATTACAGGTAAATAAGATACAGCTGTATTTATTAAGAAATAAAAAAGACATACCCAAGTCATAATTTTTTTAATTAACAATGAATACTTCTTTCAGATCGTGCAGATATGGAGGTAGAGACAAAATCCAAAAAACATAAAAAACAAACGGGTAAAAAGAAGAAAAAAAAGAGAAAGAAAGAAGAAAGGCAGGAAAAGAAATCTCCTTCTCGCTCTCCATCTGAAAGCAGCTCAGCTTCAGGTTCTGAGTCTGAGGGTGAAGGAAGTAAAGTGGCTGGTGATGGTAAATGTTCTCCAGCTGTTGCATCCGACCTTCAAGAGCCAGTATCCAAACTTGTTGTAAAAGGCCAACAAGTAGAAGATAAAGAAACTCCAGTCGTCACAGAGAAACCTGAATTGCTTGGAGTAAAAGAAGAAGTAAAAGAAGAGACAACAGAAGATATGACCTCTACCGAAGGGAAGGATGGTAGCACCAATGAACCACAAATTGACATGAAACATCCTGCTGGCGAGGATGAAATGAGACAGACAGAAATAGTACAAGTCAAGACAGAAGGCAGTAATGGAAATGGCATGATCAGCCCTGCCCCGGAATTGCCAGATATCATCCCAAAACAGGAAGGTACCAACCCAAGAGAAGACCCAAGTCTGAAAGATCATGCCAATTCAGTTCAAGGGGAAAAGGTAGAGGAGTGTGATTCATCGAGATCGCCGCCATCCCATCCTCATGGCTTAGAAGTGAATAAGTCGGAATCAGGTACTAACCGGTCACTATCACCTTGTCTCAGTAAGCAGCCATCTGCTGCTCAAGCAACAGAATTTGTGAGAGAACGGTCTAGAACCCGTTCCAGGTCACCCTCAAAGGAGAAACTATGTTCAACCACGCTAAAGCTTCGACAACAATCCCGGTCTAAATCACGCTCCCTCTCACCAAAATCCAAGAGAAAATCAATCTCCTCCTCCCATAAATCTCCTAAGAAAACACGCCACCGGTCCCGATCCACCTCTCCCTCTGTTACACCCAAGAAGAAAGTGTCAAAGTCTCCAAGGAAGTCAAAGTCTCCCAAGCGGGGGCGGAGTTCCATGTCTGTTTCCCCAAAGAGACGCCGGAGTTCTCGCTCTCCCAAAAGACGGGCGTCGCGATCTCCAAAACGCAGTGGCCGCAGGTCCCCGTCTTTGTCAAGATCTCCCAGGCGACGAAGAACGTCAGGGTCACGTTCCCGAGCAGGCACTAGGCGTTCCAGGACCCGCTCACCTCGAAGAAGTGGAGCAGTTAGCAGACGATCCCTGTCACGCTCTGTGACCAGGCCGCGGCGGTCCGCCTCTAGATCTAGACGCCCTGTTGGTCGCTCCAGGTCACGCTCGCCTGCTAGGCGTGCAGGAGGCAGGCGCTCGAGGAGTCGATCCTTATCTAGACGACGAAGGTCACCACTTCCCAGATCCCGGCGATCACGATCCCGTTCAGGCCGCAGGAGCAGGCGCACTCGATCACGCTCCGTTGTTGTGCTCAAGCGCAACCGCCGCTCCAGGTCCAGGAGCCACCGTAAACGTACTAAATCCAGAACCCCTCCCGCCCGAAGGCGGTCCAAGTCTCGGTCACCAGTGAGAAAGCGTTCTCGTTCTCCAGCAAGAAGAAATCGTTCTCCACCAAGATCAGCCAAACGGTCCAAGTCTCGCTCACTGTCACGAAGACGCCGGTCACCACCACCAGTGAAGAAGAGGTCCAAATCACCCAGGAAGACCAGAAGGTCAAAGTCTAAATCGGTTTCTGGAGAGGTGAACAGGTCCAGGTCCAGGTCTCAATCAAGTGATGGCAGCTCATCCTCTGCCAAGTCCGTTTCCTGCACCGTAGTTAAAGACAAGAAGTCTCCTCCTCGTCCGGCTCCTGCTGATAAAGATACAGAGAAAGCAGCTCCTGTTCCCACTCCTGCTGATACAGATACAGAAAAAGCAGCTCCTTCTCCCAGTCCCGCTCCTGCGGATACAGATACAGAGAAATCAGCTCCTGCTCCCTCTGGTACAGATACAGAGAAAGTAGATCCTGCTCCCGTTCCTTCTTCCGCTGATACAGATACAGAGAAAGTAGATCCTGCTCCCGTTCCTGCTCCTGCTCCCATTCCTGCTCCCGCTGATACAGAGAAAGTAGATCCTGCTCCCGTTCCTGCTCCTGCTCCCGTTCCTACTCCCGCTGATACAGATACAGAGAAAGTACATCCCGCTCCCGTTCCTGCTCCTGCTTCCGTTCTTGCTGATACACATACAGAGAAATCAGCTCCAGCTCCTGCTCCCTCTCCTGCTCTTGCTCCTGGTTTTGCTCCTACTTTTGCTCCTACTTTTGCACCTGCTTTTGCTCCTACTTTTGCTCCTACTTTTGCTCCTACTTTTGCTCCTGCTCTTGGTCATGCTCTTGCTCCTGCTGATACAGACACAGAGAAAGCAGCTCCTGCCCATAAGGATACAGAGAAAGAAGTTGAAATGAAAGCAGCTGAAGAGAATGGAGGTGAACCTGAAAGCTCAGCTGAAAGCTCAGGTTCAGCAGGTGAAACTTTTTCTGTTTTTGTCAAATATTCAAAATGTCTTATCGCTTTTCAAAGAATTTTCAGACATCATGGTAATTGTTGAATATCAGTTACTTAACTCCGGGACTGATATAAGTGTTTTATTCTCTTAGACAATCTATATTTGACAATGTGTTAATTAATGTGCATTTGCTGCAGGGGACTTGATACCCACGCCTTCAGCCCCTGAGCCCAGCTCCCAAGATGGAACTACTACAGAACAATTGCAGGAACAGCCTGTTACCCAGACAAGCCGATCCAGATCCGCTTCCCCAGATCAAGGCACGGGCACAGGCTTAGGTGGTTCTGAATGCTCACAAGGGTCCGATGAAGAGTCTCCAGTCAAAGAGTCGGAAAGCCAGAAAAGCTCCTCAGGTTCTGCATCTCCAGAGCTGCCGAAGAAGCAGACGTCCAAGTCACACTCGCCTGCAGATCCCGTGAAACCCTCTCATTCAACGTCCAAATCTACATCCAGAAAGAAGTTGTCCAGGTTTGTGTGGCTCTGTTGATAGTCATGTAACCCTCCCATCAAAGACAGATTTAGAAGATATTTATTTTCAGTTACATTTTAAAAGTGGAAGATGCTCATCAAATCTAAATATTACATTACTTGGTTAAAGTGAAAAATAAGTTAAAGAATCTCAATCCAACATACATTTTTGACCATCTCTAAGCTTGTTTTTAGAATTAATCAGTATTTTATTACTTTTAATCCAGTCCCCTTACTCACTTGCCATACATTCTTTCTTTAGGTCCAAGTCTCCAGTAAAGAAAAGAGAATCTGTCTCTCCATCAGAAAGGAAAAAAAGGCGATCCAAGTCCCGGAGTCCTGCCCGACGGCGGAAGTCACGATCACGCTCTACCGCACGCCGTAAGCGTTCTCGGTCCAAGTCACGGACCAGAAACCGGCGGTCCAAGTCCCGCTCTCCAGCCCGCAAGAGACGATCTCGTTCACCGAATGCCCGAGGGAGGAGGAGGTCCAAGTCTACCGACAGGAGCAAGCGATCCAAGAGCCGCTCCACAGGTCGCAGGAAAAGATCCCGGTCAGGGGACCGGGGCAGGCGATCGCGGTCTCGTTCCTCCGATCGTAGACGCAGATCCAGGTCGAGAGGTCGAGGCAGGCGGCCGGTATTTCGCAGTCGGTCCTTTGACAGAAGGGACAGATGGAAGAGGGAACCTAGCCACTCCCCTGTTCTTATTTTGCGTAAGCAGCGCCGTTCAGGGTCCCGAACACGACGCAGCACAAGCAAGACTCCTCCACGGCTCACCGACCTGGGTAAAACATTTACTCTGACCCCAGAGACTGTACTACATGTATGGATCTTTAATCAACGATTCGACATGAGTTAATTTTGCCTTACTTGATGTGGTGTGTTTGCATCAAGCCTGCGTTGCATCACCCCTCATTCTGTCTTTCTTTCTTTTCTCAGACAAAGACCAGTTACTTGAGATAGCAAAAGCCAATGCTGCTGCCATGTGTGCTAAAGCGGGGGTTCCCATTCCAGAGAATCTTCGGCCAAAAGCCATTCTCCAGCTCCCTCTGCCCACTCCCTCTCCTTCCCCCATTTCCTTACCTTTACCGTTGCCCCTTCCAATGGGCATGGGGATGGGGAATATGTCCAACATGGGTCCAATGGGGCTATCCAGTATTCCAGGAATGCCCCCTATGTCGAATATGACCATGAGTGCGGCTGTGGCAAGTATGACAGCTGCAACCATGACGGCTGCCTTGACCAACATGGGTGCCCTGGCGGCCATGCCCCCCCTCGCCCCACTCCCCACAATTACTAATAAGCCTCCCCCGTGCCTTGCCCCTCCAACACCATCCCTTAACCTGGACCACATCGAGGAAGCAAAGAGGAAGGTCACCCAGCAGGCCAATATACACACCATCAAGGAGCTTACTGAGGTAAATGTGCATGTTTTTGCTTGAAAGCACATCCATCAAAATGTGCTTGATAAAAAATCACATTTGGCACCGCTATGATATGAATACTTTTATTTGATACTGAAATTCTGACACAGGATGGTTGAATCATTTCAATTTGGATGAATCATTTTAATTTGACAAATACAGTATATGAAAGTATATTGTGTTTACGAGGCCTATTTCTATAGTTACTTACATAGTACCTGTTTGTTTTCTTTATTTTTATAGAAGTGTAAGATGATTGCAAATAGCAAGGAGGAGATGGCTATCGCTAAACCACATGTTTCAGATGATGAGAGCTAAAACCACCACGTCCCAGAGGTAAAATCTTTGTCCTTTTGTCTTAATCAGTATTAAAATGAAAGATCCTTTCAAAGTTACTTGACTTTTAAACAGCAAGTCATTTCAGACTTGTCTAGTTGTATATTCAGAGTTTGTGTAATTAAATAGTTGTTAAAGCACCAACTGTAAAACTTTCATAACTGATTCTTCTTTTTGGTGCTGTTGGCCAATATTTATATATAAATAGCCCATCTTTGAATGAGCAAATATTTAGTCATAGAAATGTTTTAAGGGACTTTTATTAGAACCTTTCAGATCAATTATTCAGCATTTCATTTGCCAAAAGTTAAGTTAAGTGGAAATATTAAAGATCGTTTGACATCAGCTGAACCTTCAGCTGCAGAATAACCATTTCTAATAACCCAGCTGTTTTGTAATGAAGAACAAACCTTGACTAGGTTTTATGATGACATTGCTAACAATACAATTCTACTTGCAGTTTTGAGCAGGAACGCTAGTTTACAGCTCACGACATTAAAGTATCCAACTCTAAGCCATGCATTGGTTGTTTCAACCAATGTAACTGGTGATATTAAAACATTCAGAAAGAAAATAAAAGGAAGTGTCATTTGTGCTCTTAAACTTCCATTGTGCAGCATTTTTTTTCTCCTTTTCTCTAATTTTATGTCTTGACTTTAGCAGGACTAAATGTAAATATCAGATATCAAAACATAAATTGGCATTAATGCCATTAGCAGATCCAAAGGGACTTATGAGGATACAGGAGAATTAAGTAATTTTTTTATCATTAATTTTTGTTGAGACATTGACAAAAATTGAGAGATTACGTTGTTTTATTCATAGAATTGTTTAGTGTGCAAGATGGGATTTCCCATTTTTGACATGTTCTCTGTCCTTTCTGCACACAGCTACTCTCTTCAAAGGACTGAAGGTAAATGTAGGATTCCTTACAGGACTCACTTTCCCCCAGTTCTCTCTCTAAGCCTGATGACTTCAGAGTTAGAGGCATGCTAACTGTTGCAGACATCACCGGCAGCAGCCACTGCCTCATTCTGCTCCCCACTTTGTTTCAAGAGACATGCAGACTTTTTACCCGTGATACCACTGACAAAAACTGGACACACTTAGGTGTGCACAGCGGTGTGACTGTACAGTGAGTGTAATGTGTGCGTGTGTGTATATAAAATGACTTTCACCACCATCCCCTCAGTGCTCCGTTTCACATCAACAGACACTGTTAAAAAGACTGAGGAGGAAACAAACCAAACTCAGTAGTGGCGCGAGTGTTTTTGTACAAGTTCTAAGTTTCTCTAAATTTATTTTACCTTTATGCTTTCTTAAGGAATATGTTAAGTGGAGACTGCTTCCCTGTTTTTCTGTGTAAACCTTTAGTTATCTGTAGCCCCTGGTTTTATGTACAAATAATGCAGATGAAGGTAGTGATAGTGAATCCTCCCGTCATAATGACTCGATTTAGGATCCTCAATGTAAAAGAAGTGAGGTGCAGTCTGATTACTGGATGGAACAGGACATTTCAATATGTTGGCTGCGAGTCCTTAAGCACTACCCTGGGTGTGAGTGGATTGCCTTTACGTTTGTAGCACCAAGCTAATCATTGACCCGAATTCGTTACTGCATATAAGTTCACTTTTGGATATTTTGCTCTGTAATTGAATGGACAACCTGGAGATTTTTAACACCAGTTAGTTCAACAACATCTTTTCATTTGAGGCGCACAGAAAGAGATTTTTAAAAAATAGTTTTCAAGAAATGCTAAGTTTAGATTTTCACAATTGACTTAAGTTCCACCTAAATGCAGTGCTGAGTGAACATGAGGTCACTATTAGGGTTGTAGGAATATCTCTCTATACATCAGAAATTTAGTTTACGAATACACTTTACCGAATAGTTAGTTAATCTTTTTATTTTTTCCAAATTTTGTCTAAACCTTTGAAACCTCAATTTCTGTTTATTTTCCTGTATTAGACAATCTGCGTCTTTGTCTCAAGGTACTTCTTTTGAAGAAAGAACAATAGGCTTGTGAAATGCACACGTCTCGCAGTACTGTATTCAGGCAGCAAAAAAGAGAGAAGAGGAGTACTGTAGATGTGCAAGCTAGGACGCTTTCATTTAACCCACAAAGCTAAAATCTGCTCTTCCCGGACCTTGCGGTATCTGTACTTTGTGGTTAATGGGTAAATGCATTTGTCTTACTGGGTAAGTGAAGAACAAAGACATACTTGGTGCTTTTGAGGAAACTAAGGGACAAAGGCTTTCTGATTTTTAAATTCTTTTTCATGATTCACGGTTCTTTTCATCCAAGGGAGGGGAATAATTGCAAACCCATCCCACATTTCCACTCTCCCATACCCAGGGTTATTAAAGTGTAAAGGTTATCTTTGAAGGCTTTGTCAGACTTTAATTACACTTGCTCTGTACAACTGTTATAACTGTTGAGATGATTTTGAGGTCAGCTTTTGCTCTTTTAATGACAGGAAAATAAGAAAATGCATTTTAGGATTTTTTTTCTCTGCTTTGGTCATTTGAACACGACATTGCTTGCTTTGTACATAAATGTGTTGATGATTATTAAAAACCTCAATCTGTATCTGTTGTTATCCTTGAGTTTTTAATGAAGTCAAGAGCTGCTTGCGCATCACATATCTAATGAATTTTAAGGTCTTTGCATGTAACAATGACACTATCTATAAATTAAATGCTGCAACCCAACAACCTCCAGTTCACTTTGTATGGTAAGCTACCGAAATCAGTTTGCTCTGGAAACAGATTTAATTGTTACTCATTCTGAGAGCAGTAAATAGTGTTGGATATCTGCCGCTGGGACAGGGAGGCTTTTTAAGTGGCACATTCATAAGTTATTTCTATTCTGCTGAGACTGCTTTAATCATTCAGTTTGGAGAGAAATTCTCAGTTTATAATGTTTTTTGTTATCAGTCCGTTTCTTGGTGTCTGGGTTGCTCTTGTAGGGTTTATCTTTTGATGTGAGAAATCCTCTGTACAAAGCTAAATGAGCAATGTCCTGCTCAGTGCAGTGAATCCTGCTGGGGCACCTAGTGGGGGTTAGGACTTTAAAGAGGAAGAAATAGAAGAATTAAGGCACACAAAAAAGTTTTTTTCTAATGTTTTCAGCTAGATGTATTCAATGTCTTATTCCACTGCCATTTAATAGTAAATATATTTGGTAAAAGATTAATTTCCTTCTCAGGAGAATTCAAGAAGTTGTAGTTCTTAATTCCTCCTACAAGTGGTGCACTTTCTCTTTGTTTGGTCTGCTGGTAGAAATGGGATATCTGAGGTAAGATATTTTGTTTTATGTAAAGCTGTACAGACTGTGTGGGAACCGCAGTGAGAGAGGAAATTTAGCTCATGTTTCATGTTTTTTATCTGTTAGACACAAATGCTGAATGCAATTGCAGATTTTCCGGCCTCTCCAAACAAAGAGATCTTTTAATCTCCATCAGATAAAAAGGTGAAAATGAAGCTAGTGCTTCAGCGGTCATCAGGTTGGCTGGAGCAAGTGCTTCAGTAGTGGACAGTGTTTCCATTCCTTCACTCACTGTTTTCATGACCTCACTATAATTTTGAGTGAGAACGATACCTGTGTCTGCTAGTCTGTTGCAATATCACCCGACACATTTAGTTGATAGAAATACTAATTTCTTTAAAAGCTAAAACTAAAGCCAGGCCATTTTTCAAAACTACCTTAAAATCACCATCCGTGTTTAAGTCATTTTCTGCACAAAATGGATCTAAAACTTGTTGAATATGCCAAAAACATATGAAAAAGGTGGCATTAAGATATTATTTTGGGTCTATGTGGAACAGGATGAGAACTTGATTTGGTTTTATTGGAAACGGGCTGCTTATTTTACAAATGAAAAAAAGTGAATGTCTTTGCCATAACAAAAGAAGATCAACATGTAAAAATATAACCTTACTCCACTTTGGGCTCATGTCATTTTAATATACCATAAACAGCTGTTTATCTTTTTGAAAGCATATAAAACCCTGACTGTCTTATCCAGATTTAAATACTCAAGGCCACTTACTTAAAATGGACCAGAGTGGAAGATCGTCCTTCTGTCTGCAGCATCAAGACTCAAATTTTCAAAGAATTCAGCAACCATTCTGCTTGTCAGCCTGCAGTTCAGAAGAAAATCAGCCACTTGGGTCTTTGACATTATGAAGCAGCCATATATGATGCCAAAAAAAACCCAAAACACCACAAAATGTCCAAACGTTATTCAAAACAACGAGACTAAAAGGGGGAAGATATGATGCAGTATCATACACATGCTCGTATGGTGATACAAAAAATGATTAGAATAGTGTCCAAATAATTTTTTTTAAAGCATAAGCATCGTTTGTGTCGAAAGGAAAGATAAAATGATATTTTATTTAGTCACCCCCAACCATACACATTCTAGTCCCACCTGTCCTCAAATCTTTTAAATACAGAAAGAGGAAAAAAGTGCAACAAACACCTCACTTACTTGGAAATGTTGTGGTAGTATTTTAATCTCACCTTTACTTTCTGGTGTTGTTTTCTTAATTACTATCTAAGGCTGGGGGTTAGTAATCTCAGTCAACTCCAGACTCCAAAAAGAACAAGTCTGTTCAGATATTCCGGGCCAATTATACTCATTTAATTTGTGGACTGTAATTACATTAATCAGTCAGTGTCTACATCTGCACTTGTTTACACACACACTCACACACAGAGCCCTGATGTCTGCATGGATATGCATGTGGGCTGCATTCAGAGCAGCCCATGAGTCATTGGATTTTGCAGATCAATGGCTGCCGGTCGATGGACGGCTGAGTGCTTTGCAATGACCACCCCGTCCAAACACTACCCACTCTGTCAAGCAGCCAGGAAAGCAGGTCAGATACACAGATTTCCACACACAGCCCCGTTCCCTCTCCATTTTCAAAATCCTGTTTGCTATCAAAAAATAGCTTCACAGCCCTCCTCCCAT